AAAGAAAAAAAGAATTAAAAAAAACAAGGGTAGGCTTAGGAACCTCTGGGACATCTTCGAACATACCAACATCTGAATCATAGGGGTGTCAGAGGAGAAGAGGAAGAGCAAGAAATTAAAAACTTATTTGAAATAAAAATGAAAGGAAACTTCCCTAATTTGGTGAAGGAAATGGACATACAAGTCCAGGAAGCACAGAGTCCCAAACCAGATGGACGCAAAGAGGACCACACCAAGACACATCATAATTAAAATGCCAGAGGTTAAAGATAAAGAGAAAATCTTAAAAGCACCAAGAGAAAGGCAGAGAGTTAACTACAAAGGAGTTCCCATAAGACTGTCAGCTGATTTCTTAAAAGAAACTTTGCAGGTTAGAAGGGACTGGGAAGAAGTATTCAAAGTCATGAAAGGCAAGGACATACAACCTATATTACTCTATCTAGCAAAGCTAACATCTAGAATTAAAGGGCAGACAGAGTGCTTCCCAGACAAGGCAAAACTAAAGGTGATGATGAACATCATCAAGACATTATTATATGAAATGCTAAAAGGGAATTATTTAAGAAAAAGAAGATCAAAACAATGAACATAAAAATGTCAATCAAATCACAACTATCAATAATCGAATCCCAATAACAAACTAAGCAAACAAGCAGAACAGGTGCAGAATCATAAATATAGAGATCATTTGGAGGGTTGTCAGTTGGGAGGAGGAAGGGGGAAAATGGAGGGAAGGTACCAGGATTAAGAAGCACAAATTGGTAGGTACAAAATAGACCAGGGGATGTTGAGAACAGTATAGGTATTGGAGTAGCGAAAGAACTTATATGCATGACCCATGGGCATGAATAAATGGGGGGATTGCTGGAGGGAAGGGGGGTACCAGGTGGAAGGGGGAAAAGGGGAAAAATTGGGACAACTGTAATACAATAATAAAAAATGTATTTAAAAATGTATTGATTTGAGAAAGAGAGAGAGAGAAACATTGATTTGTCATTCCACTTATTTATGCATTCATTGGTTGATTCTTATATGTACTCTGACTGGGGATTGAACCCACAAACTTGGAGAATCAGAGGATGCTCTAACTAACTGAGGTACCGGGCCAGGGCTATGAGAATTTCTGGTACCAAGAATTAACCAATCAGATACAACTTTATCATGTGATGTTACCAATAAGATGCAACTCTTATATAGGTCATTGCATGACCTATATAAGACAGGGCATTCACACAGGATGGTTATTATTGTGTTGGCTATTGTCATTTTTAAATTTGACAGTCTAAGGGAAAAGAGCTAGTGCTTCTGGCTAAATAGTCAAGTATTGTGTGTTTTAAAAATTCTTGTGACAGACTGATGGAAAATTGCTGTTCCAGAGAATAAAAGTTTTGTAGGTCCTTTTGTGCATTTGAAATTAAGGAGGGGACATAAGGATAGTTGGAGAAAGCAAGTCAGGGATTGGATTACAGGACAGTTAATAAGATTGTGTGCTCTCTTGAGGGTTAACACTCCCTTATAGTGGTATTACTCCTGGTATTTCAAAGGAGTGTTAACCTGGATACACAAGAACAATGAATGGACAGGCTGGCCTGAAACCTTTCGCTAAAGAGGTTGTGTAAGCCTGAGGAATAACTACACACCATGACCTGCCCACTTAGGAATTTACGATCAGCTCACCCTCTGAGGTTCTGGTCCACAGAATCCATTTTTTGGGGGGTCCGCAGATTCCATGGTAGCTATAGTGTCATTCCCTTGAAAAAGTGTGCGTATTAGAGTGGCCAAACACTCAGTTTGAAGTTGTCTGTACACTTTCCTGCATTCTCCGTACAAAGTTAGTTTTCCCCAAGTCGTCTGGAGGTACAGACTTCCTTCTGGTGTCTTGTGAAAGAGAAAATGTCTCAGCTTCCTGATAACCAGTTAAAGACTTTAAAGTAGTTGCTAGCAGTGGAGTCATCAACTTTCAGCATGGAAGAACATTAGGAAAGAATTAAAAATTTATACTGAGAACTGAGGAGAGCTTGCTGTTAGCTTGTAGTTGAAGTGCACAGGGACTTTGTGGCACCTTGTTAGCCAGGCAGGAGACGGCAGCCAGACTGTCGGTGCTAATTACCCCAGTGTTGGGCCCTCTGGTGATTTTTACTTTCTTTGCCATACTGTTAGGCATTTAAAAAACAAAACAACGATCACTTATGTATATCATGGGGAGGGGGGAACAGTCTTTCACTGTGAGGTGAGAAAGGCAAGGTGTAGTACTGTGTGTATAGTATGATCCCTTTGTGCAAAAATAGTGTATAGGTCACCAATTATATACATTGTGAGTTTTTCATAAACTTTTTTTTCCTGTAAGGTTTCATCAGAAACTGTTAGCTTGGGGTCCCCCTGCCACATCCCCACCAAGAAGAGGGACTGGGTAGGGTGGTCCCAGAGTTGGGGGAATGTTCACTTTTCATTTTGTGTATATTTTTAAAAGGATTTTATTTGTTGATTTTTAGAGAGAGAGAATGGGAGGGAGAGAAACATCACAACTCTAGTGGTATTTCTCTCTCGAGTGCCCGCAATTGGTGACCTGGCCCACAACCCAGGCATGTGCCTTGACTGGGAATCAAACAGGCAACCCTTTCGTTTGCAGGCCAGTGCTCAATCCATTGAGCCACACCAGCCAGGGATCATTTTGTATATTTTTAAAAAAATACCCAGGGAAGAGCTAAGTGCTACATCATGGTGTGCTAGTGTAATGTCTTGATTTGAACTAATAAAGCTGTTTTACAACAGCTTTAAACCTTTGGTATAACAGCTTATACTTATTTTGGTATAAGTTCTTCCAAAGAACTTAAGTCTTTGGAATGAAGTTCAGCTCAGGTGGGTCAGACTGGGTAGAGGACCAGGAGGCCCTTGGGCAGGTGGAGGGCCTGGAGAGGAGGCCACCAGAAAGAATGACCTCTCCCAGCATCAGAGAGGGAAGAAGAGGTACCCAGAGGGAACCTCAAGGAACCTCTGTCTGTCTCTACTGTCTGGCTTCTTTTCATCCTTCAAATCACAGCCGAGATGTCACCCACTGGGAGAGGCCTGCCCATGCCATCTGAATCAGTTCTCTGCTTATTTCTACCACAGCACTCTTCTTTCTCACACTTGCCATGGTCTGTTCGTTACTTGTTAATTTGTTCTCTTGAATGTAAGCTTTCTGAAAGCAGAGAATTGCCTGTCTTAGTCATTTCTTAAACTCATAGTCCATAACATAGTCCTTGACACATAGTGGATGCTCAGAAAATGTTTGTTGACTGACTGAATAAGTGACAGAAATAGCTGAAAGGCGGGAGGAAGATCAGGGAGGGTGGTGTCTCCAGGCCCAGGGAGTCTCCAGGGAGACATGGAACAAAAAAAGCAAAGTCAAGTTTGTGTTGGATTTGGCAACGAGTAGGCCCCTGGAGACTTTGACAAGAGCAGGAGACCACAGAGATAAAAATGGGTGGCTATGACTCAGATCTCCTTTAGCCTAGTCTTCTAATCAGCCCAGTACCCCTGAGGAGGAAGTAGCTGGGTGTTTGCAGGTAGAGGCTGATCCCAGGGACTCTGGGAGTCTTGAAACCCGGCCATGAGGTATCTGATCAAATGTTTGTCCTTCAGAGAGCTCTTTCCTGACCACCCTTCACCTGCATGCTGCCCATTTCCTGTACCCAGTTTTATTTTCTTTATGTTATTAATCACTGTCCAAAATTCTTATTTGTTTACTTATTAATTATCTGCTCACTCTTAATCTGTATCTTGTGTAAACCTCCGAAAGCATGGATACACCTTTTTTGTTCACAGCTATAACCCCATGCACCTGGTACAGAGTAAGCATCATATCTGTGGAATGAATGAAAAAAACCCTCTTTTGTATGTGGCTTTCAGCTGCAGCCTAATCACCCAGGGTGGGTGCTTCTCTTTTTCATTTTCCCTTGTTAGTGGCTGAGTGGTCAGGTGCAGGCGGACAGCCAGCAGGCAGCCCGTGCTGGGTGGGCAGAGAACTGTAGGTTTGCCTGTGTGGTCCCAAGCAAGGCACTTCCCCCATCTGAGCCTCAGTTTCTTTACTGTACAAAGGAAATGGTAGTCGATCTAATCAAAACATAGAGCATCCCAGCACGGCGCCTGGCACACAGTGGGCAGCCATCGCTGGTGGTGCTTTGCAGTGGTTCAGGGGTTTCCTTCTGGACCCAGGGCAGGGAGACTCTCTTTTAATGTGCAAATTCTGAATATCCCCTCAAGGCACAAGTTTTCATTTCTCTGAATAAATATCCTGAGGTTGAGTTGCTGGGATGTGCAATAATTGCATGTTTTTGTTATTGTTTATTTTTTGAAGTTATCACACTGTTTTCTAGAGCAACTATACCATTTTATATCACCGCCACCGATCCAGGGGCAACTGGTTTCTCCACATCCTCACCAGTACTTGGGACTGTTCTTATATATTTCACTTAAAGTGTTCTGGTACATGTGTCATAATATCTCAGTGATTTTAATGTTTTCATCTGCTTATTTGCCATCTGTATATTCTCTTCAATGAAATGCCTGTTCATGTCTTTTGTCTATTTTGCGACTGGAGTGTTTGTTTTCACTATTGCCTTTTGAGGGGTTTTGTACATTCAGATACTACCCTTTGGTTGAATATGGAGTTTGCAAATATATCTCTCCAGTGTTCACTTTGCCATTTCATCTTTCACAGAGCCTTGGGTTTTTGTTTTAATTAATTAAAAAAAATTAGCCTGAGCATGGCTTCTCCCTGGGTATCCCCTCTGGGAAACTTCGTGAAGAGACAATATCCGTGCTGTCCAAGGTGGCAAGGGCTTGCCCTGGCTGCGACACAGCCTCAGATTTGTGGGTGGGCATGTCTGTGATGGATTGGCATGTGACTGAGCATCTGCTCAGTAGGTGTGGGCACATGAGGACGTGGCCCACAGGTGTCCGCTGCAGCTGTGTGGGGCCTGTAGGGATTCGGGGACTGATCTGAGGTGTCTCCCCAGAACCCTGACCTGGACTCAGAAGCATTGCTGGCCCTGACTTTGCCTCAGCTGATGCAGAAGTTAAACAATGGGGAGCTGTCTCCACAGGCTGTGCTCTTCACCTATTTGGGAAAGGTAAGGCCGACCAGCGCCAGGCGGTGATCTTCTTGCAATGGCTTTCCAGCACAGGCTGTGGGGAAAACCTGGCCTGGAGTTTATCCTGCTGAGGGCCTTGGCGGTAACGCAGTGCCAGGGGCTGCTGGGGTGGGAAGGAGCCAGAGCTACAGATGTGTGTGTGTTTGTATGTGAGAGAGAGAAGAGAGACAGAGACAGAGAGAGATGGAGAGAGAGACAGAGAGAGAAACAGAGAGACGGATTCTGTGTGTATGGGGAGGAGGAGGGCACTGAGCATGTTGTCTTAGCCAGAAACCTGGCTTTCAGCCCAGATTTCCCTCTCCCTCCTGTCCCCACCCCATTGGTCACCAAGTCTAGCCTGTTGTTTTTCTATTGTGCTCTCTAGTCCACCCCCCTTATCTGCACCTGCCTTCAGCCACCTTGGTTCTCCACCACTATCTCCCTTCATGATCGAGTGCCGGCCCCTGGCCAGATCCCTTTCAGGTCTCCGGTTCCTCAGTCACCACCCTTCTGTTTCCCCCGTCTCCAGCATCCCCTCTGGCCAAGGCCTTCGGGAGCTTGAGGCAAGCTCCTGCACAAGCCAGCTACTGCTCAGCTGTTGGCAGTTCCTTGGCACCTGGGGCCTGCATGCTCTGTGCTGGTTTGTGTGGGGTTCCTATATTCTAGAAGGCTCTTTTCCCTTTTCTTTATCCTGCTTGTTGCAACAGGTGCCTCTGGCTGAGCCTTCAGGGCTTAGAGAAGGAATCTCCTCTTTCATGAAGTCTCCGTTACCCTCCTCTCCTTCCAGCCCGAGCTAGCACATTTCTCATCGCCTTATAGGGCCTGCCTTGTTTTTCTCTTTCCCATGTCAAATGTGGGTTTTTTGGGGGACAGAGCTTATCTTATTTGTCTTTGCACCTCAGTACTGGATGGCGTGTCTTTCAAATCAAAAGTGCTCAACAAATATGTTTGAGATAACGTTATGAATGTGACTTGTGTATGACTTCTTGAAAGAGATCACAGGAAAGCATTCTGGTTATAAATTGACCTCCTGCCTTCCTGCCTTCAGTAGCCGGGAGACAGATTTCATGAGCCTGAGTGTGATAACAGGACCTACATGCATTTTCTCAGGTGTTTCACAGGAACCAGAGTATTTACTGAAAGCTGTACCTCATTGTTCCCTGGCCTTTCCTGTCTTAGGGCCCTGTTGGGTGTGGTGTGGTGTGAGAGCTTTAATGTGGTGTGGCCAAGCTCCCAACCCCTTTACTGTGAGTCAGTCACTCCCCTGTGTGACTTGATTATCAGATTCAATACTTCCTGGAAGAGAGCACAGTTCCTGGGGCAGATGTGGGCCAGGCCTGGGACAGATGAGTGGACTGGGCTGTGGGAGGCTGGAGCCTGGGTCTCGCCCTGCTGCCCTGCTCCGTGCTGACTCTGAGTGTGGTCTGAGGTGGGGATCCGCCCCTGTCTGATTCCGGTCTGCCTCACTGGGCAGAGGTGTGACTTGAAGGGGAGGGGCGTGGCCAAGGGTCATCCTCCTTCCAACTCATTCCCTTTGGGGGCTTCTGATGCCAGTACCTTTATCCTTTGAGTGCCCTGGCCCTGGGACTACTCTCTCTCTTCCACTTGGGGTTGAAGACCAGAGACAGCCAGGGTACAGCTCGGGCCATATTTCCCCAGTGAGGTGGGTGCTGGGTCCTAGATTATCTGCTGTGCTCTGGACTTCCCTTTCCCTGGGTATACTTTAAAAGGCCAATTTTATGTTATGTATGTTTTACTGCAGTTTGTTAGCTTTTTTTATTTTAAAAGCTAGCCTCACTCTGCCTTGTGCACATTTCTCCCTCCCCTAGGCCTACGAAGTGAGCAAAGGGACCAACTGCGTGACCACTTACCTGGCGGACTGCGAGACTCAGCTGTGCCAGGTCCCAAGGCAGGGCCTGCTCTATGGTGTCCCTGTGAGCCTCAAGGAGTGCTTCAGCTACCAGGTGTGCCCTGCCGCAGTCTCAGGCCTCAACTTCCCTCATTGCTGCCAGCCAGCTCTGTGGCCTGGGTTACCCTGGGCCCTCAGGAAGTGTCAGGTCCAGAGGCCTTGCGTGGGCACCATGGTGTGCCTTGCCTTGGCCTGAGAGGGTGGTGGGAAAGGACCCTGTGCTGCCGAAGGGCCCTGACTCATCAGCCATGTCCCTCTCGGTGACCATCTTTCCTTCTAGGGCCAGGACTCGACCCTGGGCTTGAGCGTGAATGAGGGGGTGCCAGCGGAGTGTGACAGTGTGGTGGTGCAGGTGCTGAAGCTGCAGGGTGCTGTGCCCTTCGTGCATACCAACGTCCCCCAGTCCATGCTCAGGTTGGGTCTCCGGCATGGTGTGAAGGCAGGGTCACCTGTGCCGGTGTGACATGGCTGACCCATTCCTGCTTCCTCCAGCTATGACTGCAGCAACCCCCTCTTCGGCCAGACCACAAACCCATGGAACTGCTGCAAGAGCCCAGGTGGCTCCTCGGGGGGTGAAGGGGCCCTCATTGCAGCTGGAGGCTCCCTCCTGGGCTTAGGCACTGACATCGGGGGCAGCATCCGCTTTCCCTCCTCCTTCTGTGGCATCTGCGGCCTCAAGCCCACAGTGAACCGCCTCAGGTTTGGTGTAGGAGGTGGTGGAGGAAGCTTCTGGGACCCTTGCTGTGTGACCTTGACCTAGCTTCCCACCTCTCTGGGCTGCAGGCAGGGGTTCTCTAACTGGGGATTTTCTGGGAGGGAGTATCACAACGCAACTGGCCCTGAGTTGCTGTATGGGTGTGTAGTGGGGCAGAGGTTGGCTCCTTCCTGTTTCCAACATCTTGTGTTTCTTATCTAGCAAGGTTGGCCTGAAGGGCTGTATTTATGGACAGCTGGCAGGTAAGGTCTGCAATTCCCTTATGCGGCAGGCCCTATAAAGCTCTGGGTCTGGAGGACGGGGAGGGGTTCTGCCTATCCACTTCTGCCCCTGCCTGTCCTGGGAGCAGGGTTTGCTGCCTCCCCTCTTCCCCCCACCGCCCCACCCCCATCCACTCTAGGTCTGAGTTCCTACCTCCTTGTCTCTGCCCACATTCCCTGGCCCAGCCCTTACTTGGACACTACCCCAGAGCCCACTGGGGCCGAGTGATCTCTCTTCCCTCCCCTCCCCACCTGACAGTACAGGTCTCAGTTGGCCCCATGGCCCGGGACGTGGATAGCCTGGCACTGTGCCTGCGAGCACTGCTGTGTGAGGACATGTTCCGCTTGGACCCCACTGTGCCCCCACTGCCCTTCAAGGAGGAGGTGAGCAGGGGTAGGGGTAGGCACGGGAGTGAGTTCAGTATCACTGGAGCCCAGAGAGCAGCCTCCAGGCAGGAGGGGCAGGCTGTGGAGGCCCTGTCTCCTGAAAACCACCCTCAGCGAGCTGAGACCAGGATCAGCTGCTGCTTCCAAGATAGCCACCAGATGGAGCCCTTACCTGCATTTAGAAACTTCAAATTGGCAGCTAGGAACCTCTCTGCTGAGGATGCTGCTGCCACTGAGAAACCGCTTCCCAGCACGGAGAACAACTTGGGACAGAACTCCTGTACCTGCTCTGTATGACTCTCAGCAAATGGGAGCCTTTCTTCAGTATTTGTGCCAGTATCCCCAACCCTCACTGTGGTGCTTGGCACATAGGCTGAGAGTGAGTTAAGGACAGTTAAAGGCACAGCTGTCTCCTTGTCAGAGAAAGCTGGGATCTGTGGACCGAGTTGCATGCTGACTCCCCAAAATACCACCAATTAGCCTGTTGATCAGACCAAGCCAAGTTCAGTAATTTCTGTGGTGAGGGAGAACATTACCTCAACACAACCTTAGTAGCAACAGGATGGGGAGGGGGTGGTGGAGGATGGGTGGATCGGCAGGCAAAGCAGGGATATTCGTTGAGATTTGAAAGTCCTATTTAAGTATAGGGGTTTCTAAGGATCATGATGTAACAATAGTTTAGGACTGGTGGACACAGCAAGGTGAGGACTTTTTAGGTGAGGGAATTAAGGAGTCTTAGAGTATAAACTTATTTGATACTTTTATTAAAAGAGTGGATGGGGTTTTCAAGAGTGAAAAATAAAATTATTTGTACTTTATGTACAAAACATTCAGGAGTAGTCAAGGTAAATGGATGTAGGCAGTGGATAGTAAAGTCACATTCGTCCATACAGTAAGCTGCACTTGTCCCTCACCCAGCCCAGCTTGCCTTGGAGAGGCCAAGGGCCCTGGACAAGAGAGTGAGCTTAAGTGTTTCTTGGCAGGTGGGAAATCTGGGCTGATGGGTGATCTCCCCGGCAACAGCAGAGAAGGATGTTCTAACTGAACCCAGTGGTTTACGACGCCCTCCCCGAACGGGAGGAGAGGTGGAAGTGAGGTCCTTGTCCTGAGGTCTGGAACAATTTATGATGGAGTCAGGACTCGTATTCTTGAAATGGGCAGTGCAGAGCCTCGGCTCAGGAGACAGGATGCCTGGGTTCCAAATTCAGTATTGTCACTCTGCGTCAGGTGGCCTTGGGACAGTTTTGGCCCCACTGTGAGCCTATCTCCTTATCTAGATCTGAAGTCTTAGTTTCCTGATGTGGGAATCTGCATACTTGCTCTGCCCACCTGTGGAGCCATCGTGAGGGTACCTGGTGAAAGGGGCTGGCCTTCCTGGAGGTCAGTTTTCATTGGATCCAGGCCGCAGCCTGGCAGCTGTGTTGGCTGAGTAGCTTCCCATCTTTGGGAGCCTTGCCTTGGCTCCTGACTCGACTCTGACTCTTGGGTTTTGTCCCCAGGTCTATGCAAGCTCTCGGCCCTTGCGTGTGGGGTATTATGAGACAGACAACTATACCATGCCCACCCCGGCCATGAAGCGGGCTGTGCTGGAGACCAAGCAGAGACTAGAGGCTGCTGGCCACACGGTATGGCTGCGGGAGCCCAGAAGTCCTGGCATGGCCCTTCTTTTGGGAAGCCTTCCTGGCACCCATGGCTGCCATCCCTTCCTGGCATCCTTGCACCCCGATTGTTTTGTGGTGGGGGATGGGAACTGTGTCCCTGTGGCATCAGTATATAGAGGGCTAATCAGAAGCGTTGGGGTAAGTGATTAATGGTGAACCGGCCTGTGCTAGGGACATGTGGGCGTGGCACTGGGAGGGCTTCATCAACCACAGTGGTGTGCCCCTGTCCACACGTTCCCAGGGCCCCGAGATGGTTGGCCAGTGGGTTTTGGTTTGCTCGTCTCGGGCAAGTTTATGTGTGCCTCCAGGGAGTTCATGGGCCAGTAAGGCTACCGTCATGGTTCCAGTGAGAGCTACTCTGTGGCAGAGTTGGTCCAGTCTGTCCTCAAGGCCACTTTGGCAACATGGGGGTGGTGAGACCCAAGTGTTTCTAGGTTTGGAGGTCTTCCACCTTTCAATCCCTGCAGCTGATTCCCTTCCTGCCAAGGAACATACCCTATGCTCTGGAGACCCTGTCGGTAGGTGGGATGTTCAGCGATGGCGGAAGCAGCTTCCTACAGAACTTGTGAGTGCTGACGGGCTTCGAGGTCTGTGGTGGAATCAGGACGTGGGAGACTCGGGGAGAGCAGCAGGGTGCTTTGACCCCCAAGAATGGGCCACCTGGGGAAGGACTGGGGACAGGCCTCAGCTGAACACACAGGAGGACTAAGCATTCTGGGCAGGGACCACACTGCATCTCCAATTGTAGGTTAAGCTTGGAGACACCTTACCAGGGAGACTAGAAAGGTGCCAGTACAAGAGAAGGCTGGACTGAGCATTTGTGGCCTGGCCCTGAGTTGAGCTATTTGAGAGGTGGAAGATGGGCGGGGAGCTACCTGTCTGTTTGGGAAAGATTGGGAGACAAGGGCAGGATCAAGCAGGTGGGGAGGGGCCTAGACATCACGCTGTGACTGAAGGCTCTTCTGACTTGGGCCACGTCTTTCCGTTTCAAGCAGAGTCTCAGTTTTCTCTTCTGTAAAGTTGGTGGCTTGGACAGGCCTGCTTTAAGGGACGTAGTGGAGCAGAGCTCACATTTAGAGAGGGAAGCTGGTTCTACTTGAATGTTTTCAGACCTTAAACATTGACAGAGGCAGAGGACAGAGCTCTGCAGGTATCTATGGTGACGTGCTTGGGCTGACTGGACTTCCCCCACTAGCCAAGTATGGCCTAGGCTTCAGTAGAAGGTGCTACCCTTCACTCTAGCCCTGGGATTGAGGCTGAGGATTGGCCATCTGAGACCTTTCCCAGAGATCTAGAGCCAGGACCGCCCTAGGGATAAGCATCATAGGTGACCCACTACGGACAGCCCCACTGGTGCCTCCAGGCTGGCATCATCGACAGGGCGCCTTCGGCATCAAGCCCTGGCCTGGGCAATGTTGCCCTCGGTCCTTATTGCTTGGAGCTGAGCTTGCCAGGGAATGCGACACGGAGTCCTGCCTTGGGGAGCTCCACTGGGGGGTCCAGTAGAGCCCAGGCGTCCTGAAGGAATAGCAGAAACAAGTCACACATTTGAAAGGAGGCGGATGGAGGGATCGGAGACCAGTGGTTACTGAGTCTGGCAAGGAGGGAGGTAGACAAGGGTTGCTGAGTAGAAAAAAAGGGCGGGGTGGTGGTGGAATGCAGTGGGTGGTGGAAGCCAGGAGGGAAGTCTGGGGTGGGAATGCCTAGACTGGACCCTTTGTCTCCCAGCAAAGGTGATTTGGTGGACCCCTGCTTGAGGAATCTGATGTTGGCTCTGAAGCTGCCTGGGTGGCTTAAAGGACTGCTGGCTTTCCTGCTGAAGCCCCTGGTGAGGGCACAGGGAGTGGAAGGGGTGGGTGTGTGAGAGGGAGTGTCTGCGGCTCTTCCCCCTTCTCCGTAGCCTCTCTTAGTTTGTGCAGGCATGGTCTCTTCTCTTCGGCTCCTACCCAGACTCCTCTCCTCCTCCCATTCCCTATCATCTTTAATGAGCCTGAATGCTACAAGGGGTGTCAACAGGAGATGTGAGGGGAATCGACTGAGGGAGAAGACACGGGTGGGTTGGCCTGCAGAAAACTGTTGTCAACACTTGGCCCAAAGCTGAGTCGCTGACCCCGTGTCTGCCCTTCTGCAGGTCCCAAGGTTGGCAGCCTTTCTCAGTGGCATGAAGTCTCGGTAAGACTGTTTACCAGCTCAGATACTTGCCTCTCTCTTTCCCTGACCTGGGTTTCTGACAGGAAAGGAGGTGGGAAGTAGCTTCTGAGGCTGGAAGTGGCCCAGACAGGGTAGCAAGTCTGTTACTCAATATTTCCAACTTGACTAAGTGCTGAGGACAGGAGCTCTTTGTCCCCAACACTATTCAAGTTGGTGATATCAAGTTAAAGAGTCTATTATGTACTCCCTCTGTGGCCTTCAGGTGGCATCTTAAAGTTCCTGCAGCAAAGTTCAGGTCTGGCTGGAAAGCAAGGGCCTGAGGGAGCTAACAGGTTGTGGGTGGTGGAGAGGAGAAGGTTGGCCTTGCTGGGCATGGGTGGAAAGGGCCAGGAAGGAGTTGCTGTGGGGCAGGGAAAGGGGGATACTGGGCACCTGTGAGAGATGCTGCTTCTAGCGATCTGAGCCGCACTGAGCTGCACAGTCTTATTTGTCCCTGGTGTCTTGAGCAGGAAAAGCAGGGCATAAGCTGCCCCATTTTCAGGCCCTGATAGCCTGTGGACTTGCTCCTTCTCCCATCACCAGGCATTTAGGACCTTTGACAGCTCTGTTTTCTGCTAAGAGTAGGTAGGAATCAGGCCTGGTCTGCTGTGGAGTCACTGGTGACCCAGCCTAAGTCCCTTTTGGGCCTTCATTTTCTCAGCAGGACAGTAGGGATTTGAACTTCTGTCCTGCACTACCTCCCTCACAGAGCTCCCATAATGTTGAGATGGGTCCCTGCAGGAGTGAGACCTGGGAGGCGTTAAGGGTAGGGTTCTGATAGTGCTTATCCCCATGGCTGTGGCCTTCACAGCTGATGACCTTACTCTCTCTGCCAGGTCCACTGGAAAGCTCTGGGAACTGCATCACGAGATCGAGGTGAGGCCAGAGCTCCTAGACTAGGGTGGGGTGGGGATGGGGGTGGACAGGGCACCGCCAGTAGAGTCTCTTGGGCACTGGTCCCACTGGTCTCCTGAAATGTCCTGTCATTCCCTCTTCCCCTCCCGGGCCTGGCCTGTTTGGGCCCTGCTCTCTGACCCTCACTTGCCCAAATGCACATCCTTGGGGGTTGGGTCAGCTTGAGGCTCCTATTCTAGACACCTCTTCACCCCTCTTTGCCATCCTGGCAGGAAGAATGGTGTCCACAGTTTGTATAGGAGGAGGAGAAATTGATTTCCGCTGAAAATAGCTATGCCGTGTGCCCTAAGGACCTCCATCTTGCTGTGGCTCAGTTTAGATCCCTGGACAGGTGCCAGGGCCAGAGTCACCCCAGCCACACAGTGCCTGTATTGGAGAGTTCAGGTGAGGGGCTGGGTCTGAGTGCTCCACCTGAGCCTGTCCCCTCCCCAGGTGTACCGCAACTCTGTGATTGCCCAGTGGAGAGCGATGGACTTGGATGTGGTGCTCACCCCCATGCTGGGCCCTGCTATGGACTTGAATGCCTCAGGCATGGCCTCAGGTGAGGCCTGCTGCCCCGCTGTGCCCCTGACACCTCTAGCCATCCCCTCTCTTCTGTGAATTCAGCCCTGTGCCTGGTGGGGCCACTGGGAAGTAGAAGAGGATCCCTGGGGGAGAACCTGGCTCTTGAGGGGCTCATAGTCCGGCTGGCTAGACAGGTGGGAATCTTGTGGGATGCCCTGGGAAGGACACCCACCATTCATCTTGAGTTACAGAGTGTGTGGTTTGGGGAGGTGCTGTTTGAAGTCCAGGTGGAATTTAGATAAGCCAAGAAAATAGGAACAACATTCCACATTCCAGGTGGGGGCTTTGTCACTCACTCAAGTCTCAGCCCTGGGAGAGAGCCTTTCCCTGTCTCCCCTGTGGAGACCGGGTGCCATTTCACAGGGTGGGAGGCTAAGGCGCGGACAGGACAGTTGGCATCGAAAGTCACTGAGCTGTTCCAGCCACTTGTGCTGTGTCTCAGGGGCCGTCAGCTACACTATACTCTACAACTGCCTGGACTTCCCAGCGGGGGTGGTGCCTGTCACCACAGTGACCGTCGAGGATGAGGCCCAGATGGAACATTACCAGGGCTACTTTGGAGACATCTGGGACAAAGCGCTGAGGAAGGTGAGGTCATGGACTGGGCTGGCCAACTCTGGGTCTCTCTTCCCCTGGACTCACCTATACCCTAACTCTAGTTGCTGTGGAGAAAACAGTATATAAGCACACAGAGTCTTTGCCTCTCTTTTTTTAATGCAAGGCCCTGAAAGACTGCAGCCTGGCCCTGCTGTGCTGCCCCTCCTGCCCAGCTGGGGTACTTTCTGGACCCAGGGTGGGATCCCACCTCGCTACCTCCCATCCTGATCCTTGTGTCCCTTGCAGGCCATGAAGAAGAGTGTGGGGCTGCCTGTGGCTGTGCAGTGCGTGGCTCTACCCTGGCAAGAAGAGCTGTGTCTGAGATTCATGCGGGAGGTGGAGCGACTGATGACCCCTGAAAAGCGGCTGTTCTGACTGCTGCCTGCCCAGCTGCCTCTGGAGGACCCACTCGATCTGCACCTAGCCCGGTCAGGGCACAGCTGCCACCCTTCAAGGAAATATTTACCTGGGGGCACAGGCTTCCTTCCCTTTACCTCTCCAAGAAGCCAAGACTCCCTGGACCTTGCTCCCCTGCCTGGTCCCCAGCCTCTGCCCTGACCCTCTCCACATGTGGCAGCCAGTGGGTATAACATGGGCAAAGGCCCACTGAGAGTCAAAAAATGGTTTCTATCCTGTGTACTTCCTGGCCGTCCTTGTTAGGGCACAGGGTTGGAGACTTGACCTTCTAGAGCCTGCCTCCAGCCATGTCAGTGTCCGGCTCCCAAACCTCCCCTGGTTCCCGTCACATACAGGATGGACACAGGCTTCCCAGAGTGGGTGTTGCAGACCCAGCACTTCACCCTACCCCTCCCTGCACCCTGCCTTAGACTGAGTCCTACTTTGATAGAGACATTGCCCTTTTGCTTCCTCCTTTTTTTTCTTCTTCCATGTGCTGAGGATGCCCTTGCAGATCCTCTGCCTTTAAATACTTTGACGCCTGCTCAGATCCCTCTTTCTCCAGAAGGCTTTCCCTCCCTCCTCTGAGCCTTGGAGTAGGCGGCCCGTTTCCCTCAGCCTGCCCAAAGGCGTCTGGGTGGGGAGGCTGCCTCTCATAGCGCACTGGTTCTCCTTGATGGCAGGGACCCAACTGTGCATCTTTGTCCCTAGTGGCCAGCACAGGGCTGGGCACAAGAGAGAGCAAGGAGTGGAGTGCTGACCCTGAGCTGGTACTGTTGGAGAGAAGGACCCACAGGCCTGGGGAGGTGAGCATCAGAAAAGGCAGTCTGTTAAAGTGCTCACAGGGCTGGCCAAGGACTATATTGGTCTGAGAAGGCTTCCTGAATGAGGAGGACCTCTGTTGAGTCTAGAAGGTTCCCAGAGGCTGAGATAGGGAAGGAGGAACATCCCAGGGAGAAGAAATAACAGTATGCCCAAAGGCCAGGATGCGTTTGGTAGAGGGAAGCATGTTAAATGGGCACAGGAGAAGCAGCGAGGATGTAGGTGGGGCCAGACCAGGGTGAACTTTCGGGGCCAGTGCAGGAATTTGAATCCTGTCTCAAGGGCAATGGGGAGCTCGAATGATCACGCAAGTGCAGTGAGGAGAGTAGACTGGATGGATGGAGGCTGGACAAGGATAAGGAGGTTGTTCCTTTATCCTAACCACCTAGGCATGAGCTAGGGAGGCGGTCCAGGGGCAGAGAGAGGCGGTTTGGAAATTGGCAAGTGAGATGCAAGTGAGCTGTCTCAGCTCAGTCTGCCAGGTTACCTCTCACTGCACTGCGTTGCCTGGCAGGTTGTCTGTCACTGTGTTCTCTGGTGACAGACTTCTTGGCCCTAACAGCAGGGCCATCTCACTCCTCCCTGGTCCCAGCCCTGAATCCCCTGCTTGCTGTAGAAGGCCTTTCTGAGCCTGAGCATTCCAGCAGGGTGGACCCCAGGTTCTTAGCTGGCCTACTTCAAACTCTTTTCAGATCTAGGTGCTTTCCTTCACCGTCCTGATGTTTCTGCTCCCCCAGTTTGCAGAACCAGTGGCACCAACATTCTCTGCCAGGGGCATCCTGCCTTGGTAGTCCCAGTCTCAGAGCAGGTGTGAGGCCCTACACCCTGGTGCTGACTAGAAGGCCCAACCCGCATGAACACCTTGATGGGGGTGACCCAAAAGGTGTGGCACTCTGCCCTGGTTCCTCATAACTGCTGTGTCATTTTGTCTCATATAATTCCATGAAACTACCTGCAATCTGCCCAGTTTTCTGTTTTTGGTTACTGATATCCTTGTGCTTTCTGATGTGAGGCTTCAGTGGAAGGTGCCAGTGCCTCTCCTTCATTCCTTCACTGGTTCAGTGATAGGCCCTTGGAGCCTCAGTATGGTCACACCCACCCTGTGCTTAGTGGTGCTGAGTTCAGCCAGGCCTGGCTCCCATCCTTGGGTTCCTGGGCTCGTGGGGGTGGTGGACATTGACACAAGCACATCTGTTCCTCAGGTGATTAGGACTGGGGGAAAGGGCAATAAGGGGTCAAATGCTGCTGAAAGGCAGCAGAGGTGGTCATTGCAGAAGCACCATTTCCACTCCTACTCTCAAATCCAAGTCGCCTGCCTCTCCTGGACACTGCAGTAACCTCATTTGGCTCCCTCCTTCCATCGTCACCTGTCTCCCAACCAATTTTCCATATAGTAGCCGGAGTGACTCCTTAGAAGTGTGTATCAGATTGAGTCACTTTTCTCCTTAAAATCTTCCAATGGCTTCTCATCCTACCAAGAATAAAATTCTGTGTCCCACAGGGCCCCGTGTTCAATTTTTGTTCGTTGTTGTTCAATTAATAACCGCAAACTCAGTTATTAACAACCACACCTAAAACAAAAGCAAACTAAGGACAGCCAGATCAGGAGATGAACCATAGCAATGGAGATTACATGGAGGGTTAGCAGCAGGGGAGTGGGAAGAGGAGAAGGGGGGAGAAGGTACAGAGAATAAGTAGCATAGATCGTGGGTAGAAAATAGGGGGGAGGACAAGAATAATATGGAAAATATAGAATCTAAAGAACTTGTGACACATGGACATAAAAGGCAGGGGGAATGGTGGGGGAGGGGTATGCAGGGTGGAAAGGAATGAAGGGGGGGAATGGGACAACTTTAATGGCATAATCAATAAAATATATTTAAAACAACAACAAAAAAGGAGTGGATGTATTGACATTTACCAAGAACTTACTATGACCGATTTATCTTTTGGGCACTTAATAGTTATGCCATTTAATCCACTTACTAACTGAATTATAGGCATCTTCCCATTTTATAGAAAGGTGATATACCTTTCCCAAGGTCCCACTACTAGAAGTGAGGGAATTAGAATAGAAAAGTGGGTCAGTCTATGTCAGAGCCTTCGCAGCAAGCTCTTCCTGGTGTCCCATGATGCTGAGGCACAGAGGAGTGACAGCATAGCCAGCCCCTTCCCTTCTGATCACAGGTCCAGGGGCACCAAGACCCTCTAAGTCATGTGACTATTGCCTGTTTTCAGCTTTTCCTCCTTTCCTGGGTCCATTGCCACAGCTTCCTGCCTGGCCTTCCCCATCACCAGACTAGTAACAAATTGTCCTTCGTATAGCAGTTGGATGACCTTTTTAAAAAGTTAAAAAAAAAATCAGACATGATCAATTTATTTCTATATTATGTATTTTCTATTTGTGTTTTTCTACTTGGTTTGCAAGATATCTACCTTGATGAGTGATACTGGTAATAGCTTTCTAATAGTTTATCTTGTTATCTCACATTATTATTCACTGCTCTAATGATCAATGTGATTGTAAAAACAAAACAAAAAACAGCAGCTTGACAAAAATCACAATTCCTTAAGTCCAGAATTCAATAACTTGGACAGTTAATTCTTCTGCTATATGTGACATTACCTAGAGTCATTCTTCAATGATACTCAGCTGACAGATGGCCTAGTCTGAAATGACTAAAATGACTTCACTTGCATGTCTCCTGCTTTGGTGGGCACAGCTGGTAGATAGGCTCAGCTGGGCCCTTCACCATCTCTGTTGCAGGCTCAAGGCCCCTCCATGTGGTCACCAAAGCAGGGCAGTCAAACTTGGCTTGGCAGCTCAGGACTCCAGGAGTGAGCATTCTAAGGGGCCTTTCCGGACGCTGCATGTCTTCTTGTAATCTAACTTCAGAAGTTCAAAACTTTCTTTCCAACACATTCTATTGAGCCAACAAGTCATTAAGGCCTACCCAAGTTCAAGGAGAGTGAGGAACGGACTGTACCTCTCAAAGGGGGAGTGGCATGTCCATACTAGGAGTTGAAGGATTTGATGGTGGCCCCCTTAGATACAAGCTACCATGTTCAGAAATGGGTGACCTTGGTAAATGTACATCTGATCACACTTAAGATGTTTGGTGTTACTCTCAGTCCAGAGTCCTGATGATGACCTTCAAAACCATGCTTGATGTGTATGATGCTGTCTACTCTGGTCTCCTCCCATTCCTGAGTGCTCACATCCTGGCCACAGGGCCCTCAGGTGTTGCTGGGACACTGCACACTTCCCAGCTCTAGGCTCACTGCTCTCTCTGCCTGGAACACTCTTCCTGTGTCTCTGCCTCAAGAATTCCTGCTCATCCAAGGCAAGGGTCTTTGTCCTCTTACAACTGTCAGGTGTGCAGAAAGGGCCTATTTGTGCTTCTGTACATGTTTTAAAATAGGCATTGTGTCTTAGTAATAGGATTCAACACCTATTAGGCTGTGGAGTTAACAATTCATTATCATTGGAAAAAACAGGCATCATTACTTCTGCTTTGTAGAGGGAAACCGAAGCTGAGCGAGGGGTGCTAATTTATCTAACACAAAAGGCCTGAACATGACTTGGAATACTTCCTTCCATCCCAAAGACCTACATCCAAGATTGCTCTATCCAGCAAAGATTTCATTTAGAATGGAAGGACAGATAAAGTGCTTCTCAGATAAGATCAAATTCAAGGAGTTCATCATCACCAAGCCCTTATTATATGAAATGTTAAAGGGATTTACCTAAGAAAGAGAAGATAAAAAGGATGAACAGTGAAAGGACAGCAAACTCACAGTTATTAACAACCACACCTAAAACAAAAGCAAATTAAGAGGACAGCTAGATCAGGAGCAGAGCCATAGAAATGAAGATCACATGGAGGGTTAGCAACAGGGGAGTGGGAGAAGGAGAAGGTGGGAGAAGGTACATAAAGTAAGTAGCATAGATGGTAGATAGAAAATAGATAGGGGGAGGGTAAGAATAGTAGGGGAAATATAGAATCTAAAGAACTTGAGACACGTGTTCATGAACTAAAGGGGGGGAATGGTGGGGGAGGGGTGTGCAGGGTGGAGGGGAATGAAGGGGGGAAATAGAACAAATGTAATGGCATAATCGATAAAATAAAAATATATATTTAAACAAAACAACAAAAAAAGAACTTGAGACACATGGTCATAAACTAAAGGGGGGAATGGTGGGGGAGGGGTGTGCAAGGGGGAGGGGAATGAAGAGGGGAAATAGAACAACTGTAATGGCATAATTAATAAAATATATTTTAAAATTTTTTAAAAAGGCCTGAGCCCTGGCTGGTGTAGCTCAGTGGATTGAGCGCGGGCCTGGGAACCAAGCAACCACGGTTCCATTCCCAGTCAGGGCACATGCCTGGGTTGCAGGCCAGTTCTCTCCCTCTCTCCTTTCTTTCCCCTCTAAAGATAAATAAATAAAATCTTAAAAAAAAAAAAAAAGGCCTGAACAGAGAAGAGTTGAACCCCCCTGCCTGGCTCCAGATTTTCCTCGTGCACCATCCCAAGAATATGCACTGAACACCCCTTGGGGGCTAGGTTCTCTGCAAGGTGACCACACTCACTGGGGACAGAGGCCATGTCTGTGCATTGTGCTCCTCTGCTGGTGTCTGTTTATAGGAGGTGCCAGTCATGTCCCTGTCCACCCTCCTTTTCTCTCCCTGGGGTTGTGATACTGGAGTTCAGGACACAGTCAGGGGACCTGCCATTGTCTCTGTTAGACACTATCTTTTAGGGCCACTGCAAGGTTCCAGCCTATTGAAAGCCTTTGGGATTCTGGCACTGTTGCCCACTCTCTGCTCTGCCTCTCAGCTTGTCCACCCACAAGTCTGAGCACTGGACCTCTCCAACTTCATCTAAGTCACCAGTAAATATATGGATCAGATCAGGGCCAAGAAAAGAGCCCTCGGGTGTGTCACTCCAGATCACCCATCAGGGCAGCCTGATGTGCTACATCCTTAAGATTATATAGCCTTTGGATCATCTTCCCATACACCAAAAGATAGTGGGTTCAATCTGCAGTCAGGGCACATACCTAGGTTTTAGGTTTAATCCCCATTTGGGGAACCTATGAGAGGCAACTAGTCAATCTTTTTCACATTGATGCTTCTCTCTCCCCTCCCCTTTCTCTAGAAGCAATAAACATGTACTTGGGTAAAGATTAGAGAGAGAGAGAGAGAGTCATATAATTAAGTACTGAGCTTCCCAACCAGCCTTGGCTGGGTCCTCCCAAGTTTCCCAAACATAGATTGGGAGTGGTGACCTGGATGCCCGAGGCAGGTGAGCTCACAGTCAGTGATTGTGTGGGTTTACTTCCTTCTCTTGTTCCCAACAGGATATTTCCCAATCTGTCCCTGCCCTCAGCCCTTGTCTCTTCATATGTATCTATTCACTAATATGATCTTGGTTAGTACCCATAAGGACAAATAACTCCCAGTTTATATTCAACCCATGGCTTTCTCTGGTCTGCAAGTCTTTGTCCAGCCACTGCCCCCCAACTCCCTACCCCTTCTATCCCTTCATCCCTCCAGTAAATCTATTGAATTCCTCTCACAGTGAACTCAGGGAAAACAATCAGAAAGGGTCCCTGCCTGAATGGAGCTTTTATTCTGCTAGCAAACATACATCAAATGCATAATTACACAAAAACACTTGTCAGAAGAGCAATAAAACAGGAACACTACTTTATTTATTTTATAAGAGTAAACCAAGTGGGACCTGACCTGGCCTGGGGTACCAGGTAATGCTTCTGAAGGAAATGACGTTTAAATCAAGATCTGCTTCATCACAGAAGCCAAGGAACAAGTGTATTTCAAGAAGGGTGGAGGTGAACTTCAAATGCTGCTGATTTAACTCAAAGGAGACCCATGGGATGGTTTGGGCATAAGCAGACTGGATTGGGTGGAGGAGTGAGTGAAAGGCAAGGAAGTAAATGTAGCAAGTGTAGATAACTGGAGAAGCTTGGCTGGAAAGGGGAGGAAAGAGGTAAGGATAGTAGCTATGAAGGAGGTAGATCTGAGAGAAAAATTTTTTTTAAGATTTCATTTATTTATTTTTAGAGAGAGGGGAAAGGAGGGAGAAACAGAGAGAGAGAGAGAGAAACATGGGCCTGTAACCCAGGCATGTGCCCCGACCAGGCACTGAACCCGTAACCTCTGGGTTTGCAGGCTGGCACTCAGTCCACTGAGCCACACAAGGCAGGGCTGAGAGAAAAAATTTTTAAGGTTGGGGGACTTAAGCATGATAAATGCTGCTAGGAAGGAGCCAACAGAGACATACAGAAGTAAAGGTGGGAATGTAGGGCTCAACCTGTGTATCACTCCTCCATTTAAGAAATAGTATTGATCACCTGCCATGTGTCAGGCACTTTGAAAAGGCTGACAAGGCCCTTACTTTTTGGTGACATTATTTAAGGAGGGAGTCAAGAGAGATGTAAAAATAAGGTGATTTCAGCTTTTAGGAAGTGAAATGAAGAAATGAAATGGGGTGATGTGGTAATGAACAGATGCAAATCAAGAAAAGGTGATGTGCCAAGGCCTGGGGGGCTGTGGGAGCAATGCAGGTGTGAAATGGCCCAGGGCAGCTCAGCCACAAGGGGAGTGCCAGGGCTCAGTGAGAGAGGCAGGGTGTGGGGGAAATGTCAAAAAAGAAGGGGGAGGACATGGGGAGTATGTTGGTAGGTAGGCTAGTTCCAGAGGCCTCTTGGAGGTGACAAAGTCAGAGTGTCAGAGGGTGGATATCCTTGGGATTAACCTTTATGTCATGACCAACAGGTCAACTGCGGCCTCCGCATGTGGCCCTGGGCGACCCTTGGGTGCTCAGACTCAACATTACCAACCACAAACCCAACTCCATCCCACCAAATCTGCTGCTTCTGACCTGGCAGAGGACTTGCCATTCTCCCAGTCACAATGACTGACAGCCTCAGCTGTGAGAGCTTGCTCCTCTCTTCCTCTCTGAGACAGAGGACTGGGCTGAAACATCTAAAAAAGAATGTAAGGGCTCCCATAGCAAGTCCCTCCTACCCTACAGCTTTATATCTTCCCCTCCGTCCTGCCCCTCCTCCAGGAAGTCACCTCCACTTCTACCTCCTCATCTCCTCCCACTCCAGACTCCTCTCCACTGCCCTCCCTGCCCACAGGGAGCTCCTTGTCCAAGGAGAAAATGGATGGTCTGGAAGAGAGAACCAATAGACTGGGAAAGCTGGTATCCTAGGATCAGCAGGGTGGCCTTGCTTTGGGAGTCAGGAAGGAACACACCTTGGATAATGGGCAGGAATGGGGGCTGTGTTCCTCACTTCTTTGCATCATCTCTCCTAGGGTGGATGCCTTCTGAGCCCTACCTGCCTCTCCAGGTGTCCTTTCTTTCTTTTCTGCCTGGGCCCCAGACATCCCCCCGAGTGAGCAGCTATCCTTGGGCACACCTGTCTTGTTCAGTCCCTCTGTTCTGTGAGCCATGTTAAGAGGTTGACAATTATCCTGAAAGCAACAGGAAAGCATACTGGAAACTGGCAGCAGTCAGACTCAGGTGCTGGGGTCTGATGTGTGGTATGAAGGAAGAGGATATGATAAGAGCCTGGTCACCTGTCTCCCTGTGGGCTTGTCTCTGTCAAGCCTCCTGCACTGAATGGCCTGGGAGACAAGGCAGTCCAGGCAGTCCAGGTGGGGATAAGAACCAGCTGGGAGGAGGCCTGTGTTCAGCCACCTCCAGGACTTACCACACACCCTTCCAGATGTGGGAAGATACGCCATCAGGGCTGATGACAAATGAATAGGAAGTGATCTTGAGGAAGCAGCTGTTGCATCCACGCAGGCCCCGTAATGTCTGGGATGGCTTTGCTGTCTTACCTGCTGCTGGGGCCATCCCTGCTGACTCCCTGCTGGCAGCCGGCCTGCATTTCCGGCAGGGTGCTCCAGCATGGAGAAAGATCCCCAGGGCACAGAAGTGTAGGGAGATGGCACTGCAGCAGATGGCAGCCCTGGCACAGCGTCTCTAGAAAGCAGGATAGTGAACGTCAATCCCTGAAACCCCCCAGCCTCAATCCCAACAGGTGGATCCTACCTCAGGACATACCCTTCCTGTTGCCTCATCCCCTTCAGAGGACAGGGAGCCCACAGGGAAAGTCCCCCACTCCAGCTCTCCCCACACTAGATCTTCGTGTCCTTGTCAGGTCCTTTCCACCTACATCCTTTGAACCCCTTTAGGTCAGGAGCAGTGTGTTTTCTCTGGTCCCCCAGTGACTGGCATGTGGCTCAGTAACATGGTGGAGTTCACTTGGGCTGTGTTGAAATAAAAGAAGCTGATGGAGAAATTGGAGGCAGGTGGCCAGGCTTCTTTCAGCCCCTGATCCCCCTTGAACCACACTGAGAAAGGAACCCTAGTCTACATATTCTCCTCCCATCTCCCACTCCACTGGGTGCTGCAGCTGATTGCTGAGCACCTGGCAGATGCAAAGCACAGTGGGTCGCTAGAGATGGGGTCCTCCCAGAAAGCTATGTGACTTACAAGAGGGCTTTGACAGCATGGATGGGGATATTTCAAGGCATTGAGACAGCAATTGTGGCTGGGCTGGGTTTTGCAGGTGAAGTGACTGAGCCACAGGTGTGTCAGCTAAGCCAGCCTCCAGTGGCAGAGAGAAGTGTGGGAAGGAGGGGCATGGAGACAACCTCACACTGTGCCTTGGGTTCACTGTATGGCCTAGAGGATGTGACAGCCCCCTTCTGGGCCTTGGGCTCCTTGACTACTCAAGGAAGGGTGGGCTCATGGTATCTTAGCTGTAAGATCTTAGCTCATGGTCCCCAGCTTTGGTTGATGGTGATGGTCTCTCTCTGGCAGTCCTGGGAGGGGGGTTGGGGACAGTGTTTGAGGTGCTGTCCCTGTGATCCGGAGTTGCTGAGTGTCCTCTGCATCCCCTAGATGGTGATTGATGGCCCCAATGGGCAGCTTCTCTGCCTGAGCTGCTGCAGTTCCTAAGAATGTGTATTAATATTAATTGGGGCTAATTAGTTGGATAAATCAATCTGCCCCCAGAGAGCAGCTGCCCCTTCTTTGTTGATGGGGAGGAAATCAGGCTAATGGGGTTGCTGTGGTGAATCAGCATGATGGAGAGGATTCCTGTGTGTGTGTGGTGGCCCCATCTGTGTGCGGTGGTGTGTTTAGGTTCCTTTACTGCCAACACCAGGGCCTGCCTGTGTGTGCCTCCTGCCAGAGAGTTTGGTGTGCTGGTTGGGTATGCATCAGGCTGTGTGCTGCTTGTGTTTGGTTCCGTGCCTGTGGTGTGCGTGCCTTGCTTGATGTGTGTATGTCATGCTACTGGTTGGAGTGTATACATTTAGATCTGTTGGTATCTGAAGGTTTGGCTGAGTGCATATGGTCATGGGTCTGATGTGTAAGGGCATCTAGTTCTTTATATGTCTGAGCATCTGGATGGTATCTTTGTGGGCATCTGGAATATGTTACTATTGAGCTGGGTACCTGGTGGTGCTGAGTGTGTCTGATTGGCTGAGAGAGTGGAAAGGGTTTGAAGTGAGGTCACCCGTGTGTCTCCAGCCTCCCCTTGAGACTGTGGGCCTCTTGGTTCTCAGCACCTGTTCTCTCCCCTGAAAAGCTATATAGCTCTGTCCTGGGCACATTCTCAGTCAGGCCATTCATCTGCCAGGAATACCCTCAAGGCCTCAGGTATCCAGCTTTATGTCCCAGTGAAGTGGGAGGCTGAGACATATGTCAAACCCTTGTAGAGTTCAAATAAATCCAATTCAGTTCAGTTAAGCAAAATTTCAGAGTGCTCCTGTGGATCTTACCTTCTGCTGAATCTTGCAGAAGGGGGCAGATTCATTATCAAGATGAATCTGACATCAGACTCAGACTTGCCTTAAAGATGTTCTCACTCTGGGAGGAGTGTAGTGGAACCAGAGCTGTGTCAACCACGGTGGGAGACAGCTCCACTGAATGTGGCTTAGGCCAGATGCCTGTGGAGTTGCAAGATTTGGCAGGAGGAGAGATTTGCTTTGTCTGCAGCAAGTCATGTGGGGAAGGCATCAAAGAGCTGAGCCTTGCAAGATGGATAGTTTTCCAAAAGGAGAAAGAACAAGATAGGTGATACCGTACAGAGAAAAGCCTAAGATAAAGCAGTGTTTCTGTAGAAAAAAATTTTTTCCCCACCTGAGGATACTTTTTCTTTGCTCTCAGAGAGAGGGAAAGGGAGACACAGAGAGAGAGAGAGAGAGAGAGAGACTGATGTGAGAATCATTATCTACTCATCATCCTCTTGCAGGTGCCCCAACCAGGGATCAAACCCACATCCTAGGTATGTGCCCTGAGTGAAAATGGAACCTGTGATCTTTCAGTCCACCGGGTGGTATTCCAGCCAACTGAGCCACAGCCAGGGTGTAGAACATGTTTGTAGGATCCACTGGGGTAAACAGACAAGTTGCTTGTGTCTGAACATTGCTTACCAGGAGGTTCAGGAGGAAATTGGTTGCCCTGAGGGTTGAAGATTTTTACAACATTAAGCTAATGTATTCACCTCTTTGGAAATTTAATAGTAAATTAGTATACTAAAAACTTTAAAATATATTTTCTTTGATTTTCAAACCATGAAAGAAGACAGCACCGGGCCCATATGGAGAAAGCCATGGGGCTGTGGGACTTGGCGGAAGGGTGTGATTTGTTCTAAACTATATATTAAATCAGTATAAAAGTGATATAAGTTGAGGCTTGATTGTTTCATTAAATGAGTCTATTTCCAAATAATTTGTTAATTTTTTTTAGAAAACTCATGGGGATCTTTTGATGTGGCTATTATCTTTTCAGATGTCCCTCTCTTTCAAAGCTCTTTCAGTGAATTGAGAGTCATTAGGTGACTTGCATGTCTCCATTTTGTTTATTTTTTTCCTCCCTGGAATTCTGTTCTTTCATGTGGAACATGTTTCTTCATCTCCTCATTTCAGCTGCCTCCCTGTGTTTGTTTCTATGTATCAGGTAGAGCCACTATGCCTCCCAGTCTTGGTAGAGTGGTCTTATGTAGTGGGTTCCCCTGGTCACCCAAGCTGGGAACTCCAGGGACCCCTATCTGTAGGCTGCATGCACCCCCCTGTTAAAGTTGAGCCTTGTTTGCTGTTGATACATCCATGGGACAGATTTGGCTCCAGGCCAGTTGGCCTCACCTACAGCAGAGGAGCTGTGGTTCAGGGACCCTGACCATGGAGCAGGACTTACTTCAAGGAGGCTCTAATGCCTGATGAGTCTGCCCCTTGGGTGTATCGCTGGTGGAAGTGGTTGGATGGTACTTCAGAGTGATCTGAAGCTGTTCACCAGGTGAGCTGGCTCTGGGGCATCCTGGGAGGTGCAGACCAAGATCAGCTGTCCCCTGTGCCCTGTCCTGAGTTACCCAGCATGAGCAACAGAGCAATCTGCAAGTGACTGCTACTTGTGCTGGTTTTGGAGGTGTCCAGGATGGGCTAAGTTGTCGGAAGCCAGCTGCCACTAGTACCAGTCCTGGGGCCACTTAGCAAGGAATAACAGGTACTTGGGTACTCAGAGGCCAGATGTTGCTTGTTTGGGGTTTGTGAACCTTTGATGGATTTTAGGAAAGTTCACAGCATGAGCAAAGACAGGCCATTTGTATAAAAAAGCCACTTAAGCCCTGACCAGTGTGGCTCAGTTGGCTGGACCATAGGTCCATAAACCAAAAGGCTGCATGTTTGATTCCAAGTCAGGGCACATGCCTGGGTTGTGGGTTCAGTCCCTGGTCTGGACACAGGGATGTAACCAATTTATGTGAAAAAGAAAAAAAGAAGATAAAAAAGCCACTTAAAATGGCTAGGGGGATCCTGCAAGTGGGTTAGGTGGGGACTCAGGGAATCACCAGGGACAAACAACTTGTTTAGCCAGGTTGATGGAGACTCAGATATGGCACCTGCTTGCCAGCTCTGTGAAGGGAGGGTTCAGCAAAGGAATAATGGCCTCTGCTAGCACTTCTGTCTGAGAGAAAGCTGTCCCTCCAGCCCCGCTCCCCCCGCCCCCCAAGCTAGACAATTCAGCTTCTCCCTGTGTATCAGGCCGGGGAGTTTTGAGCCAAGACTTTAAGACAGGAAAACAGCACAGTGAGCAGAGAGATTGTGCAGTGTGGCCAGAGCAGCAGTATATGGGAGGGGGGCAGAGAAAGAGGGGGCTGGTGAGATGGGCCCTCAGGGACTCGGGCAGGGAAAGAGCTTAGTGTAGTGCCTGGCACCCAGTATGTGCTCATCAGAAAAGCTTCCCTGCCCAAGAGCCATTAAAGGGTAACAGTGAAGGTGTAGATGACCTGATTTTCAGTCCAGGCTCCCCTACCTTTATGACCTTGTACAAGAGAATTAACCTCTCTGTGTGTCAGTTGCTTTCATTGGTGAAATGGAAATGATAATAAGAATACCTATCCAAGGGTTTTTGTGACAATTTAATGAATTGGTACAGTCAAAGTATTGACATGCATTGGTTTATCTAAAGATGGATACATGTCATATGCTTATATTGAAAGCCTTATAGACCATACTGAGGAGAATGGTGTTGCAACTTTATTCTCAGGGCAACTGGGACCTATGGGTAGGTTTACATTATATAAGATCTTAAAAGGGTCACCTAGGTTGTAATGAAGAGGTTGAGCTGGAGGGGAAGAGACTAGAGGCAGGGAGTGCAGTGAAGAGGCTGTTGAAAAAACTGAGAAAGAGAGAAGATTCTAGGCAGTAAAGAGACTGGGAAGTCAAAGGTGGAAGATACGAAGGAGGCAAAAACACCTATGGGCAGTATGTATGGCTGGGAGTGGTCACTGCGGTCCTACTGCGTGGTGTGGATCTAGGCTCTGGCACTTACTAGCTGTGTGTCCTTGGGAAAACAGCTCTCTCTCTCTGTGCCTCAGGGTCCAAAGGGGGCTGAGGATGATGAAGGGAAGACAACTTCACCTTCCTGAGTGCGTGCTGTACGCTAGGTCCTTGTCACGTCGTACTTGCCCCTGACAGGAGTCCTGAGGGGCTTTGCCTCTTTTCTTGAAGGGCCTGGCTCAGAGCAGCTGGCGGGCCTGTCTGTGATCACCCTCCATGGCTGACTAATGATTGACTTCTTGAAAGTCCTTTCCTCTTTGAGCACACTTAGGCCATGGCAGGTGAAGGGACCTGCCTTGGGTTACCCAGTTGACCCATGACATGGTCTCCTGCCTCCCATGCTAGGCTCTTGTCCTTTTCCAAAGTCAGATCAACAGAGATGTGGGGGACTGGATAAGAAGAAAATTTGGGGGGCCAGTTACCCCCTAAAGGCAAACTACACAGAATTGAGCCTCATTTCCATAACACCTGAATCCCAAGATATGCACCTAAAGTCATTCCCACTCCAAATGTGCCCCTTCTGAATAGCAATACTAGGAGGCAGGCTCTCCTCTGTGCCAGGCTCTGGGATGGGCGCTGGGGGGATACAGAGACAGAAGGGAATATCTGTTCCCTGCAGGGCTTTCATGCCAACCTGGAGACAGACGAAGGCATTTTTTTAATGCTAAGGGTGAGCACACGGATAGATATGTACTGAACATATGGTTGTGTGTGCAAATGTGTATACAATGCAGTGTGTGGGGTGTGATGTTGAATGTGTGGGAATGGGCCTGATGGATCAGTCTTTGATATCTGCCTGTCCCGCCCCATCTCTGCAGGAACCAGGCCTGGACCCCAAGCTCATCCTGGTGCTACCCTTGGTGAGCTGGCCCAGAAATTGCAGGCAGAAGAGCTGAGTTGGGAGAGTGTCCTCTGTAGCTATTTAGAGGAGGTGGGAGTCAGGGGTCAGGGGTCAGGACTCAAACCTGACTCTGGGCTGGAGTGGGGTATGCCACCTGTCATGGTTCTACTTAGAGGAGTTGTGGGAAGTAGATGTAACTCTGGTGTTGTGGGTAGCTTGGAAGGGTGCTCATGTGACCGTCATCTGTCACTTCCATTCTGCTTTGAGTCAGGGTGAGGGGAGAGGCTGGGGGAACTGAATGTCTTGTTTCTGACCCCACCCTGAGCCTTTATCTGGTTTCTCTCAATGTTGTTCAGGCACTGAAGGTGCGCCAGGAGGTGAACTGCCTGACAAATTTCCTGGGGGAATGTGAGAAGAAACTGTAGGCATTGGAGAAGCTCAAGAAGAGTGAGAGAGGGCTTCTCTATGGGGTCCCCATCAGCCTCAGGACCCCTGTGACTGCGTGGTGAGCCCTGGGGTACACACACAGGTATACATGTGTGTGAGGGTGCACGCATGCCACTGAGCCTGTGAGCATCTGAGTGTGCGACATGGGGCAAGTCACATAATTCAGGATGCATAGCTAGACAGTGGCCAACTGGGACTGAACCCAGCAGTTGGTTTCAAACCCAATCTCTCAACCACCATGTTCTTCTGCTACCTGTGAATCCCCCTAAGCTAAGAATGTGTCTCAGAGGGTGTGGGAATGGATGTGAGTGGGGTGGAGTGGGGGTGAGTGTCTGTTCGCTGGGTGATTCTACCTGACCCCCATGGACTAGAGTTAATGTCACTTCTATGCAGGGCCATGACTCTACATGTGGTTTGGCACAGTTCCTGGAGAAGCCAGCGGCTGAGGACGGGGTCATTGTGAAAGTGCTGAAGGCCCAGGGAGCTATTCCCTTCGTGAAAACCAACATCTCCCAGACACTGCTCAGAACTTTGAAGTGAGCGGGCTGGGCCTGTGCCTGGGGTCAGGGCTGTGCCCAGGACTGAAACAGAAATTTAAAGTCCTGATTCAGAGCAGAGGGTGAGGTGGGAACCAGTCACACAGACCTCAAGGTCCAAGGTCCTTGGGCTAATCTTTGTGCCCTCTGAGTCTCAGTTTCCTCCTCATGTGTGTGCTCCATGGTTTCTAAGGGCCCTCACCCTTGGAGTTATTGAAAAGCTACAGGTCTGTTGCTCTCCCAGCTTCTCTTTTTAATTGGTCTTCTCGCCCACTATTCTCTCTCCTTCCTACTCACCCTGTAGTGTATCCTTTTTTGTGAAGAAGCGGTTCCTGGTTCTGACAGCAGAGCTGTGGGCTCCTTGCTCCTTATTTTAGGTGTGATTAGTGTCTGCTCTGGGTCTTTCCTGCAGCAGTGGATTCTCACCTCAGCCAAAAGCGAAGCCAGGAAGTCTTGGTCCCAGGGAGGAGCTTATGAGTTGAAGCAGCCCTGGGCTAACTCCTGAGGGTGTTTGGCCTCTAAGTGGGGAAGGGGCAATCTTCCCCAGTTAAATCTTCATCTCCCAACCCCTTTTATCCTGCTTCCTTAGCTCTGAATGCAGCAACCCCATCTATGGACAGACTTTGAACCCTCTGAACTTTAAGAAGAGCCCTGGAGGGTCCTTGGGGGATGAAGGAGCTCTGCTGGCAGCAAAGTGTTTCATCCTGGGCATGGGTACTGACACAGGTGGCAGCATCCGCATGCCAGCCAGCCTTTGTGGTGTCTGTGGCCTCCAAACCACAGGAAGCCACCTGAGGCACTCAGTGGTGGTGCTGGAGGAGGGTAGGCTCAGCCCAGTCTAGAGGAATTAGGGATCTGGGGGAGCAGAGGGGCCAGTTCCACACATGAACTCTCGTTTACTCAGCTTATACTAGGCGAAGAGGGTGAAGATAGGAAGATTTCAAATAACTCCTGCCTCAGCCACAGCTAAACATACTGTCTGATACAGGTGGCAGTGGAATAGACCTTCCACTTATTCATTCACTCATTAGTTTACCAATTCACTCTTCAGTACATTTATCCATGTACCTACCCTTTCTCTTATTCATTCATCAGTCCATTCATTTATCCATCTATCTGCCCTTCATCCATTTATCCACCCATGCAGTCATCATCCTGGTCTCTATCCATCAATTTCACCATTCATTTACCATTTAATTTGTTTAACACATATTGAGTGTTTGCTCTGTGCCAAATACTGTATATTAGGTACTTGAAATATGTCAGTGAACAAAAGGAACAAATACCCAAGCCTTTGAAAAACTTATATATATCCTTCCTTCCATTCTTGTATTCATTCATTTATCCATTCATCCAGTCATCTACCCATCCATAAATCCATATTTGTCTTCATTCAGTCATTCACCCATCTATCCATTCATATTTCCAATAACCTTTCCATCTGTCCTGAATTCCTTCATGCATCCAACTACCCATCCATCCATTTTGCAACCCCACTCTGAGTACCTACTTTGTGGTGACCCTGTGCTGGGGATGCAAAGCACTCTCAGACCCAGTCCCTGCCCTTGCTAGGCATACAAATGGCTGAGTCAGAAAGCGATCATGGCTGTAAGAGAGGGTCAAAGCTTTTGAGAACTCATAGGATGAAACCAACATTTTCTTCTTATTAAAAGTCTAGAATTTGAATTTTTGGAGGGGGAAAAGGAAAGGGAAAGCTTTCTGGAGGAGGCAGCATTTAAGCTTGGTTTTGAAGGATGGACGTGCATCGATGGTGTGGCGTCTAGAGGGCTGTAACTATAAGCAACTTACTTTTCTTGGAGCAATATGTATTCGTGGAAGAACTAGAAGAGGAAGCTATAGAAGTTGATCCTTTGGAGCTTTGAAAGGCAGTCGAAGAGATAAGATGTTATGCTGTAGGTAATAGCAAGTTATGTGAAGGTTGAAGCAACTCCTATTCCTGTGTGCTGAGCCCTGGGGGGAGTGCACTGGCTGGGTGCTCAAACTCCTTGGCACCCAGGCTCTTCCCTTAAAGTGCTGAGCTGGACTCTGGGTGGGTGGGGTTTTGCAGCTACTCTGGAGTTGCCACTGTTGTAAAGGGCAAGAAATCAGGTAAGCTTCTGTGGCCACACCAATTCAAACACAAACCTGCCAGCCTTTCTCCCAAGGACTTTTTACTCCACCCCTATCTCAAACATATTGGACCCATTGGTGATAAAAGTATCTGGGAAAAGGGACTTCTTGGCTTCCTTCCACCTGGCCTCCCCTAGTCCAGTGACTCTTGTCCCACTGAGAAGTACTCCCTGTTACCTAGTTTTAATCTTTCCTCTTGATGTTCTGCCCCAGATGAGATTCTCCCTACAGGTACCAGAGCTGCTTTGGTGAGTTTACCAACTCCACCTGTCCTCAACCTGTGATCTGAGATGACCCCAGGAACCCTTCCTTTGTCCCTGATCATGGCCCTGAGCCATAGCCACACCCTCTTATGCCAGGTGGTGGGAGTCCCCAGAACAGAAATAATGAAAGGTGTCTGCCTCCCTCCCTTCTGCTCTGTACAGTGAGCACTGTGGCTGGCCCCATGGCCTGGGATGTGGACAGCCTGGTGCTGAGCATGCGAGCCCTGCTGAGCAAGGATGTGCACCCACTGGACCCCACTGTGACTTTCATGCCCTTCAAGGGAGGAGGTGAGCCAGGTGAAAGAGCAGACCTGGAGGCCTCCTGCTTTTCTCCAACCCCCATTCCTCATTGACCTGTCTGCCATCAAAGCAATCCCTCTGAATACTTCCTTTCCTAGCTCAAGGTGCAGTGAGCAAGATGCCCACATACTCAGTCCTGTTCACTTCCCCACACACATCCTGGTGTAATCAACCTGTGAACATTTCCTGTCATCCATTCTTTGCCTCTATTGATCTCTCCTTCCTCATGCTCTCCCAACAGCTCTTTAGCTTAAAAATATTTGTGTCTGTTCATCTATTTACCTGCCCATCCATTTAACTCCAGCTATCCATTTATTCACTGATTCCTCTATCCATTCAACTCTCTTCCCACCCACCCACTCACTTTCTTATACATCCACCCACTCACTCATGTATGACTCTATCTACCTACTGGCTCCATCCACCCAATCACTCACATCCTCATTCATTTATTGTTCTTTCAGGGGCTTCTCCAGAGCACCTAGAGCCTGAAAAGTATATAGGGAGGCTCTGAGGGGCTCTTAGGGATCCCCCCTAGGTGAAACCAGCTATGGCCCAAGGCCCTAGTCTAAAAGTCTCCTGGAGAGAGTGAGATCACCTTGTCCCCAGACCAATCTTCCCCCAGAACCCCATTCAGCCCCTCTTGCTCACAGGTATACTCCAGTAATTGGACACTTTGGATTGGCTACTATGAATCAGATGGCTACACTGAACCAGCTCCTAGCATGGCCAGGGCCGTGAGGCTCACCTCCAGGCTGCTCCAGGCTGCTCCAGGATGCAGGACATGAGATAGGCTTACTTAGCCTTTGGGAAGAGGGGTATGTGGAGAGACTGGACTGGTGAGGATGTGGGACTGGACCATTCTTGGAGAGAAAAAAAATTACATCTGAGTTTGGGCTGCTGAGATCATTGTGTTTCCCCTAAGCTTCCCAGAGAAGATGGATGCGGTATAGATGTAGGGGCAGTGGACGGCGGGGAGAGCCCACCCTATGAAAAAGACATTAGGGTTTTGTGCCTTCTTCCTTCAGTGGTGGGGAGTCAGGGACTCACTCCTAAAACTCCTATAGCCGCAATTTCTGTTGACCTCCATCTAATGGCTATAAAGTCCTCTTAAATGTCTTCAAAGTCCTCCTTCCCCTCCTCCCTTGCTCCTCGTGCCCCAGTGGCTTGTTCTGGCCCTGCCTCCCCTTTGAGAACTGTTGGTTGGCCACACATGTACTATGTGATCTTGGGCCCCTCTCTTAACCTCCTGAGCCTCAGTTTTCTATCACAAGGGGCAGCTGTGAAGATTAAATGAGCTCACATATGTAAAGCACATGGTATGAGGTTGGATTGCAGTGGAGCAGGCAGGAAATAAGGACTGCTTGAACTCCAATCATATCTCTAAGGGAGTAGAGTAAGGGAGTAGGCATGGCACCCACCTGAAGGCCTCCCATGCCCTGCTGCAGAGCTGAGGTAGGAGACAAGGAGCACTGTGGTACCCTTTCCTTAAATCCTAAGGGATGTGGATAGAACGCAGGGCTGAATGGGAGAAGCTCCAGGCCCTGATTCAGCCTCTTTCTCCACGGATAGAGGCTTCTCTGTCCCCCAGATAGAGTATGTGATACCACATCTGTACCAAGGGATCTGTATGCCGATGGAGGGGGCACCCTAACTCCAGAAGCTGCACGTTTGTTAGGACTCAGATGCGGGGCATGGTGGAAATCGGGGGGTGGAGGGGGGTGGGGAGGGGACCTGTGGGCCTGGGCTGGGGAGATGCCAATGGTTAATTGTGTGATCTTAAGCAAGAAGTCATCTACTCAGCCCTCATCTTCAGGATGCACATTCTCCAGCGGGGGTGGGGAGTGGGAACATAAGTGTTTCTTTGCATCTGACCTCCCTCCATAGCTTATCTATGGAGGGATAGATGGGCGGGTGTGGGAGCCAGTTGGTGGCTGAGAAGCTCTAGCAGACCAGGTATGTGTCTGTGGTCCCTCAGTGAGGAGGACATTGTGGACCCCTGCATAAAGAAGGTGGTCAGCATACTCCGCCTGCCAAACCCAGTGAAGCGCATCTTGTCCTGGAAACGGAAGTACATAGTGAGTGTGTGCCCAGGATAGGGAGGGATTCAGAGGAGGTGAGGCCTGGAGAGGAAGGAGGTCAGAAAGGGGAGGGGGACTGGCTCAAGAGTGGGATAGGGTCAGAGAGGAGCATGAGACCCAGAGAATATCGGTGGCTCAGAGCTGGGTTCAAGAGGAAAAGGAGCTGAAAGAGGACAATGGAGGCCAGAACAGAGGAGTGCTCTTGGAGAGGGGAAGGGGCTTCAGAGAGGCTCTGAGAGGGGGAGGGCATCTCAGAGAGAAGAGATTTCAGAGAGAGGAAAGGGGATTGAAAGAGGGGTGAGAGCCCAGAGGAGGCTGGGCTCAGGGCTGGGTGAGGTGGTTGGTGGTGGTGGCTTGTGGAGGACTGGAGGTCTCCATGTCAGTCAGTGTACTGAACAGAGTTGCTCTTGCCGGACCCTCCACCCAGGGCAGGCTGGCATTGCCCTGTGGTTTCTGAAGTTGGTGTTTCCCTCTCTCCCTACCTCTAGGAGCCCAGACTCTGATCTTCCCAGACTGTGGAAGAGCTTCGTGGAGTGGGGTAAGTAGTTGAGTCTCCTCAGGTTCAACTCACAAGGATTTTCCATGGAGTGGTGATAACTGAGTGAGGGGCATGTGGTTAGAGTTGGCATTCACTGGAGGCAAGGGCTATTTAGACTTTGGAGTCTAATTAAGGTTTTAGGTTCACGACTGACACTGGGTTAAATTTAGACTTTTGAGTGAGGTTGGTATTAGGGCTGATTTGGGGCTAGGGTTTGATTTGTAATTAAGCTCTGAGTTCAAGCTAGAACTTGTTTAAGTTGTGGTAAATGTTGAGCCGGAGTTGAGGTTAGGTTTGGGCTGGAGTGGAAGTTGGTCTGAGTTGGGGTTGAGTTAGGGTTGGAACTTGGGTGGGGATATGGATGGATGAGGATTCTGGTTTGTGCTTGGGTTCGCTGTTGAGCTTGGCCTGGTGGGGCTTGGAGCTGAGGTGCTCGAGCAGCCTGAGAGCTGACCTGAGACCTCACAGGGGAAGGAAAAAACCTGTAGTTTGGGGGGAGCTTGTGAGTCCTTGGTGGCTGCTGATGGTGGTGGGGTGTTGACCAGAAGATGTACTCTTGGGAATACTGGATAGGCAAGGTGTCTTAGCCAGGGGACATGACACAAGGTCATTCCCAGCCCATCAGCTGATTTGCAGCCTGCACTGGGGCCCAGGCCCTGCCTCTTGGGCAATGTGTCTCATTTGTACAAAAGAGGGTCCTCCCATGATGACTTTTGGACTTCTCAAAGTCTTCCTTACTTCCCCAGGACACCCAAGAAACTGTGGGAGCAGCACATGTGTGGGCGCCACTAGCCCCCCATGGCAAAGCCAGGGGGCCAGGACCAGCTGGCATAGCCACTGCTCGTGGAGACGCGCCGCAAGCCCCCCTTGGCAAAGCCGGGGGGGCCAGGGCCAGCTGGCCTCTCCACCTTGCTTGGCTCCCTGCCTAGAACCTGCTGTGGGTAGACAATAGGTTTCCCAAGAACTTATTAGCATAAGCTAGACAGCCCGTTTCCCTGTAGAAGGGTAGGTCATGCACCGGTGCTTGAAAAACAGGGAAGTTTTGATAGCACCCTGTGTTCCCCTGTTGTTCTGTGGAGTAGCTTTGCAGAAAGGACAAAGAAACTGGCTTGGGTGCGGCCCCCTCCTGCTTATTCCCCATAATTGTAATAAAAGCCTTGAATAAACGGAGTTCGGGGCTCAGCGGGATGCTGAGACCTCTCCAACCTGACTCCCTGCGTCCTTGACTCATTTCCACCCCCTCCCCTCTCCTGGCGAGGCTGGTCCGCGGCACACATGGAAGTGGAGGTGATACTTGCCTGGCAAGACCTTGAGGGACTGCTGGAGCAAGGACAACAGAGACCTGGGTGGTGACAGGAGTCCCAGATAGGGGGCAGAGCTCTGTCCTGGCCTGCAAGGGAGGCCAGGATGGACCTGGATGGGAAGGCTTAGTGACCTAGAAAGTTAATCTAGTCCATCTCTCTGGGGCCAGGATGATATGTTGTCCCCAAATCACTGCAGCCTGAGACTTCCTTTCCCATCTTTTTACCTTGGCCCCTGGTGAGCCCCTGTCCTTCCCCAGATATCTCAGTCTGTATCTGATTGTTCAGGAATTCTTCCTGGTGCCTAACCAAGCTGAGCCTGGCAGCGCCTTACCTTGTCCTGCAAACAGTGACCTCTGCTGGTCTTACCTCTCCTGCTTTTATTGTGTCTGCAGGAATATCAGCAAGAGTTCATAGCCAAGTGGAAGTTACTGGACCTGGATGTGCTGCTGGCACCGTCTCTGGACCCTGCCTTCTGTATAGGCTGTGCTTCCAAAGCAGCAGGTGAGAGGGCACTGGGTCCTGATGGGGTTGAGACTGGGAGTCCAGGACTCCTGAGTCCTGCCACGGCTTCTGTGACCTTGACCTTTTTTCATTCACTTAAATATTTATTCTTCTTAAGTCAAGATAAAATTCAGAAACCATAAATTGTAAAGTATAAATTCTAAAGTATACAATTTAATAGTTTTTAGTATATTCAGAATGTCATGCAACCACCACCATTATCTAATTCCAGAACATTTCCATCATCCTGAAAAGGAATATCGTACCTGATAGTAGACACTCTCAATTTCTATTTGCTTTTAAAATGAACTTCATTGAAGTACAGAGTCTCCTCAACTTAACATGGGGTCATTTACCAATGACCTCATTATAAGTTGAACATACCTAAGTTTAAAGTGCATTTAATCTCGTGAACATCATAGCTTAGTCTAGCCAGTTTCTGCTGAATGTACATCACTTTCACACTTATGAAGTAAAAAAAATTTAAGTCAGGGACCATCTGTATAATCTACACGCAATAAAATCTACAGAGAGTGCAATGTGCTGATTTTAACAAATGTGTGTAGTTGTATAAACACCACCATAATAGAAATGTAGAATATTTTCATCACCAACCAAGTTTTTTGCATGTCCCATTGCAATTTATCCTAACCTTACCCCCCACAACCACTAATCTGCTTTCTCTCACTATAGTTGTACCTTTTCTAGGATTTCATATAAATAGAATCATAAAATATGGGTTTTCTGAGTCTGGCTTCTCTCACTATGCATATGAGTTCACTCTTAACATGCTTTCTGCTGCCCCACTTCTAGAAATGTCTTTAGCCCACCTGAAATGCATAGGGCAGTGTGTGGGGCATTGCTGACTCCCATGCCCAGAAAAGGTACAAGTCTAAGACGTGATGTCCAGGCAGAGGGAAGACCCACCTCAAGGCTAGAGTCCTCTCTCCTGGGTCCCAAAGGCACATCCCACCTGGCTCTGCTCTCTGATATCCTCTGTCATCATCACTGCCACTTCTGTGATGCTCACTCCTTGCACACAGGTGGATGTTGCAATGGAGATGCCTTTTCAACTCAGGGTTGCACTGCACACCCCAGCCATGCTGGAGTCCAGTGCACTGGAGGGGCAGGGGCTGAAGCCTCGGCTACTCACTAGCCGTGGAGGTGGTGAAAAGCCTCCTAACCTGTCTGGCATCTGGCTTTCCTCATTTGTACACGGGAGAGAGTAATTCCCACCTCACAGGGGTGGAGAGGGATTCAGAGAAGCAGGAATGTAGACAGGCCAGCACAATACCTGACAATGAGTAAGGCTTGGACCCTGAGGGTTCTCTTCCCCTCCGGGCAGTTGTCAGATTTCTGGCACTGAACTGGCTATTGCGAGCCCACAAGGATGCAGTTTCTAGAAGGACCCCAAGGGGGCGCTTACTCACATATTTTTCCTCACCTGAGTCTTTCGGAGTCGGTGATTTTTCTGGGCTAACCTGAATCTTCCTACAGAGAGAGTCTCTTACACCACCCTGTACAACCTGCTGAACTTCCCTGTCAGTGTGGTGCTTGTCACCACCGTGACACTACAGGACCGGGAGGAACTGGCCTTCTACAAGGGACACTACAGAGATAGTAATGACAGAAATTTCCCGAAGGTCAGTTTCCCTTTTCTTATCTCTACCCCCTGCCTCGATCTGAGGGCACAGACCAGGATTGAGTCCTGCCTCAAACCAAATGGGCCCGAGGGGCAAGGTGGGATGGGGCTGGGCATCCCCAGGGTTTACCCTTACCGCTTGTGCTACAGTGTCACCCCCATCCCTGAGGACACACCTTTTAACTCCCAAGTCAGCCATTGTCCTTGTCAGGGGAGAATACTTTATAAAAACAGCGGTCCTTCTGACCTCTCTGTTACAAAAGTCCGTTCCAGAGGCAGGGAGGGAGGATCAGGGCAAAGGCCCCCAGTTAAGAGCTTACTGTGTAATGATGGGACACTACCCTCTTCTGGGCTTCAATTTCTTTGTCAGAAAAAAAAGGGAATTAAAAAAAAATCTTCTGCCCTGCTGGTGTAGTTCAGTGGATTGAGCGGGGGCCTGTGGACCAAAGGATCCCAGTCAGGGCACATGCCTGGGTTGCAGGCCAGTTCCCAGCAGGGGCCACACAAGAGGCAACCATACACTGATATTTCTCTCCCTCTCTCCTTCCCTTCCCCTCTAAAGATAAAGAAATAAAATCTAAAAAAAATCTTCAAGGGTTATGTTAGAAGTTAAATTAAAAAAGATGGAAGCAATTAACATAAGGTCTTATATGTAGAAAGTGTTCAATAAATGCTACTATTACTAAGTCAGAGGTGGCTTAACAAGAAAATATTTCTATGGGAAGGAAATATTTCTATGGGCCTATTTAATGCAGGGTCTATGCCCTGGCTGGTGAGGCTCATTGGACTGAGTGCCAGCCTGTGAACCAATTGATCCCTGGTTCAATTCCCAGTCAGGGCGGATACCTGTGTCAAGGGCCAGGTCCCTGGTTGGTGGAGCATGAGAGACGACCACGCAGTGATGTTTCTCTCCCCCTCTTTCTCTCTCCCTTCCCCTTTTTCTAAAGTAAATAAACAAAGTCTTTAATGCAGGATCTAAAATAACAACCCTAACTTAGGTGAGAGAGAGAAAGAGAGAGGGAAAGACTGACTCTGAAAAGTATGCATATGTCTAACAATAAGGAACTTACTTTTCTGGACATTGATTTTAGTAACTCTGGAAGAGTTACCTTGTGGATCTGCCGACCTAAATTCTGAGAAAATAGTAGTAATGATACTATCTCATGTCTCTTGAGCTCCTACTCTGTTCCAGGAGTTGTTTAAAAGTTATATATATATATTCCCCCCACACACACAACTATCCTGTGAGGTTTTGCAAATGAGGAGATGGAGACACAGGTTAAGGGACTTGACCAAAGCCACACAGCTCGTTGAAGTGGCAGAGCTAGGACTTGAAACCACATGACCTGACTCCAGAGACAAAGGCAGATAAAGGCTTGCATGACATCATCATCATAAAGCAGTGATTTCTAACCATTGTCATCTCATGGCACATATAAACTAATTGCTAAAATTTGGTGTAGCATCAAAAAAATTGTTTTTGCTGATTTGACAAAAATAGGTATAATTTTGATTGATTTACAAAATAAAATAATAGTAATCAACTACCCTTTTTGCTCCAAAGTGATTTTTTAAAAAATCAGGTGCCTATGCTTGTATATAAGGATTTCTGATACTAAGAATTAACCAATCAAACACCACCTTATCATGTGATGGGGCCACTAAGATGTAACTCTTATATGACCTATATATTTTATATTTCCAGACAGGGTGTTCATACCAGACAGCTATTGCTGTGTTGACTGTTGGCATTTTTTGGACAATCTAAGGGAAAAAAGAGGTCAGTGTCCCTGACTAAATAGTCAGGTGTTGCATGTTTTAAAAATTATTGTGGCACATCAGGTGAACATTGCTGTCACAAGCAATGAAAACATGTCTGAATCCCTACAAGTATGTCTGGATTTCATGGCAGGCACTCAGGCTCAGCCCCCTCTTTCACTGCAGAAGTGTAACCAGGTTCCAGATCAGGGATTTGCACATTCTTTTTCCCTTTGCTAAGAACATTGGGTGAATTCTTGGTTTTATATATATATTTTTGTTGTTGTTGTTGCAGGCTGCTCTTTGCACAAGGAGGAAGTTTTACCCCAGAAACTTGTAGACAAAGTCAGAACAGGTTTTCCAGGTTTAACGGAGAGGTGAGGAAGCCTGGAACTATGAGATCCAGGAAATCTCTATTCTAATATCGATTGGAGATGAGATATTTGAACTAATGCATACCTACGGGTGGTGAGGAAGGCTGGGCAAGGGACTTGCGACCAGGAAGCAGGCTCTGACTTACAGACACTCTCTGGGCAGGTGGTAAAAGGATCCATGGGACTTCCAGAGGCTGTGCAGTGCATCACTTTGCCATGGGAAGAAGAGCTGTGTCTTCAGTTCATGAAGGAAGTCAAGACCGTGGCCAAGAACCATAGGGAACCCAAACGACGGGCTATTTCTCCTCCTGAAGATCTTCCTACATCTTCATCCACGTCTGCTCCTGACGCCCTTTCAACTTTTCATAAATACCACATCCATGTCATATATCTCCTCCTCCTAGAAGCTCACCAATTTATTTATTTATTTATTAGTCTCTCTGTCCTTGTAGGTGCTTAATCCATGGAATCAGATCCACCCAAGATGGTCATCAGGGTGAAGAGCTCAGTAAACATTTTGACTGGCTGGTCTTGTGGTCTCTGATCTAGGTGGCAATGTAGCTTCCTGGTGGCTTTATACCTCCAGCTGTTCTTTATCTCAGTCCCCCAGGTGCCATCCCAGATGGCAGCAGATGGGAATAAGCCTTAAACTGAGAGGCTAGAGACCTGGGTCTAAGTCTTCACTCTGCCATTGGCTTGTGCAATGCTAGGCAAATAACTTTCTCTCTCTGGAGCTCTGTTTTCTAATCTATGAATTGAGGGAATTAGATCTGATGACTTGACTGTTCTGTGAGCTGTGATTTCCAGGTATTTCCCTGATTGAGAACTTGCCATAAAGAAGGGGCTGGAAAGAAGTATTCAAAGCAATGAAAGGCAAGGACCTACATCCAAGATTGTTCTATCCAGCAAAGCTATCATTTAGAATGGGAGGGCAGATAAAGTGCTTCCCAGATAAGGTCAAGTTAAAGGACTTCATCATCACCAAGCCCTCATTATATGAAATGTTAAAGGGACTTGTCTAAGAAAAAGAAGATGATCAAAAATATGAACAGTAAAATGGTAACATACTCACAACTATCAACAACTGAACCTAAAACAAAAACGAACTAAGCAAACAACTAGAACAGGAACAGAATCACAGAAATAGAGATCACATGGAAGGTTATCAGCAGGAAGGGGAGAATGGGGGAGAAAGTACAGGGAATAAGCATAAATTAGTAGGTAGAAAATAGACAGGGGGAAGTTAAGAATAGTATGGGAAATGGAGAAGCCAAAGAACTTATATGTATGACCCATGGACATGAACTAAAAGATGGGGGGAATGCTGGTGGGAGGGGGTGCAGGGCAGAGGGGCATAAAAGGGAGAAAAAATGGGACAAGTGTAATAGCATAATCAATAATATATGTTTTTTTAAAAAGGAAGAAATTAAAAAGAACTTTCCATAGCTCCCATTACTATTTAGAGAAAGTTCCAGAGAGCAAGACCAATGGAGTGAAGCCTAGTCAGATCAGACCCTGGGTTAGGACTAGACCTCGGCTCACAGTCCAGTGCTTTGCAAACAAAGCGCTAGTTTCTTGGCCTGATGCTCAGCACATCCCAAGATCCTCTAGTGTCTTCTGCATGAGCTCTGCTATAGCACAACCTCCCTCACAGCCTCAAACTGGACCCTTCTTGCGAGCGTGATGACCTTTTGCCTCTGTGCCTCTGTTCATATTATTCCTTTTCCCTGAACATCATCACTCTCTTCTCTTTCCTTTAAGCCCTCTGTCAAATGCCACTTCCTCCAGGAAATCTTCTTTGATCCCTTCAACTTCCCCATGACCTTTCCTTCATTTGAACTTGAGATCCTCCTGCGTTGAAACTTACCCTTCCTGGCAGGTGGGGGAGGTAAGTGGTGATGGAAGGAGACTTGACATGGGGTGGTGAACACACAATGCAATATACAGATGAAGTGTTATAGAATCGTACACCTGAAACCTATGTAATTTTATTAACCAATGTCACCCCAATACATTCAATAAAAAACAAACAGAAAAAAGTACCCTTCCCACTCCTTTTGTCTTAGTGGTGTGGGGACTGTGGTGGCGATGAGGCAGAAGCACTGCCTTGAGGCTGTGGAATGGAAACTGCAAGACAGCTGCCTGGGCTGGCCCACTGTCTCCTCTGGGCCTACGATTCCTTACGAGATGCTAAAAGCACTTTTAAAGAAACATGTCCTTTCTGTTTTCAGTTGCTGGTTCTGGATAATTCTTTTTTTAAAAATTATTTGTTTATTTATCTTTAGAGGGAAAGGGAAGGAGAGAGGGAGAGAAATATCAATGTATGGTTGCCTCTAGTGTGTCCCCTGCTGGGAACTGGCCTGTAACCCAGGCATGTGCCCTGACTGGGAATTGAACCGCAATTCTTTGGTTTGCAGGCCTGCGCTTCATCCACTAAGCTATGCCAGCCAGGGCTAGATAATTCTTGAGTGTGCCTCAAACCCAAGCCCAAACTGAAAAAAATACAGAAACTTCTTAATTGAGAGGGAAGAAATTATACAGTTGGTTTTAATGAAGGAAAAATTATGGAAAAGTACATTATCCAAAGGTGTATTGTTGATTACTTGTAAAATATGCAACAAAACAGTTAAACATCATGGTGAAAACAGAAGATTTTGATCAGCACTGAAGAGCGGTCCAACCACTCCTGCGAGTAAACTCAGCTCAGTTCTGCAAACCGAAATCATGGTGTGCCTGCTCCACGGGCACGAATGCAGCCTGGATCTTCACAGTGCAATGCCGTCTCCAGACAGTCAGCGCCCACGTGAGCCTCAAAAACCGAACAAAACAAACACTTCTCTCAACTAAAAGTGGTGTTTAGAGTGAATTCCCAAGTAATTCAGAGGTGGACTTCAGAAATTCCTTCTGTGTAAAGGATGAACTATTTAAAAGGTAAGAAATGTTTAACACAATTTCTGAAACTAAAGTTAGAAAAACAGCTTTAAAAAAGTGTACCTTGTTTTTAAAGGAGCAGTTCAGTTGAGAGCTGAAGGGCCCCAGTTGTATCAAGTCCTTATGTTCTAGCACTGGTGCTTGGCCCGTGAAGCTACAAAGGAGACACACCAGGTTCAAAGGCAGTGCTTAGAAAAACAGCTTTTAAAAAGCTTTTATTTATTCTCTAAATACATGAAAACTAGGGTTCAAAAGCAAAAATTTTTGGCATTCTTCAGTATTTATGAAGGAAATGCCTCATTAGAATGAATAACTGAAACCTGACTACCTTATAGGATGGTTCTGAGAATCAAAAATACATGAAGTTACAGATAAAGTGTTATAGAACTGCACACCTGAAATCTATATAATTTTACCAACCAGTCACCCCAATAAATTCAATAAAAATTTAAAAAGTATATATGAAGTTATTGTAAGTACTATAGACACATACAAAAAATAAAAATAAAACAAAACCCCCACGACTTTCCTTTTCCCTACCCCATTCCTCTTTGTAGCCCTACTTCCAGTCAAGTAGGAAAAGCAATGAACTCATTCCGCCTTGTACTTAATAGCACAAACCTGAAGATAATATCTCAATGCAAAGGGAGGGAGTTCATCCATCCATCCTACATTTGCTGAGTACCTCCTCTGAACACAAATGATGGCATTTCAGGCAGAAAAACGCCTGAGTTTAACTAGGATGAAGACCCCAGAAATCACACCAGGAGGGCAACGCTGACTCGACCTACAGTAGAAGACACCATTTGGGGTGTCCAGGTGCAAGCTGGATAAAGCTACTGCTGCTATCACTATGGCCTCCACCCCTCTTGAGGCTCTACCACAGAATCTGAGACCTGGGCTGGAGAAAGAGCCTCATGGTTTCTCCTCATTCACGTAGTAGGGCTCCTGCTTTGTTCTTCCTTTTTCTTTAGAGGGAGGAGGTGGGGACAGTGCACAGAGGTTTTTTTGTTTGTTTGTTTATTTGTTTGTTTTTTAACTTCAAATGTCTCTTGTCTTCTTTCCCACCGGCTTGCTGGTTGTAACAGTATGGACAGCAGGGGGCAGCATTGAGCTTCATACAGCCCAGACAGTATCGCACTTTCCTCTTTAATCAGATCGTTACCAGCACTTTCTCAGTCAGACCTTTGTTCAAACTCCATTGCGCAGATGGAGAAACGAGAGGGTGGAGAAATAAACACAGGGGACACAGAAATAAGCCGAGTACGTTGACTTTGAGTAAAACATTTGCAGATTTTAGGAGACACGGTGGAATTCTATGTTTGGCTGAAATTAGCCTGGATAAAGGGAGCAACAGATACCGACCTTAGGGACTGAGTAAGTCCCATCCTGGGGTCAGACTTTTCTCCAGGCTGGGCTTTCTCTGCTTACTCTTTTTTAAAAGATTCAATTTCTTTATCTTTAGAGAGAGGGAAGGGACAGAGAAAGAGGAGAGAAACATCAACGTGGGAAAGAAACATGGGCATTGCCTCTCGCACGCCCCCAGTTGGGCCCGACCCTACCCATGTGTAGGTGCACAGGGGACCTCCAGGAACACGGTTTCTCCTTCTCCCTTTCTCACCCCCAGTACTTCCACACCGCTTGGTGTGGCCCTGCCTTCTCTGCAGGCCTGGACAAGTCTTCCAGCCTTTCCAAGCCTCAGTTTCTTCTTCTGTAAAATGGAAATCATGATGGCTTGCCACAGCCTCAGGATGAGACAGGTCCACAGAGTGTGAAGGCCGGATGGGAGCGAACCTGTGCTCCCCTCGTCAGCCTGGTAGTTGCTGTGAGGTGAGAGGCCTGCACAGGTCTGGGCCTCTGTGTCTAGCATTCATTGGGAAGAGTCAGATTCTCCCGGGGAAGCCTAAGAGCAATAGAGTAAGAATTTAACTCAGAAACAAGAAAATTCCCAGGGCAAGACGGTTCTCCCAAGGCTGGGGCTGAGGCCCCCGAGTAGGATTTTTGGGAAGAGGGCACCTTGAGTTCTGGTCTTGTGCCTGTGCTGTGGGATGCGTGTAAGCCCTGTCTCCTTTCTGGGTCTCAGTTTCCCCCTTTGGCTGCGGGGAAAAGGGGCGTCAGCATACCTTCCCCCGCCCCGGCGCCCCCCCCCATTAATTTCGAAGGCGCTGCAGTCTACCTCGTGTTGCTCCCACCGCCTAGAGACTGACTCACTGGCCTCGCCACCCCACCCACTGCACTTCCATTTCGTCGCCTAAACGGGTCACCAGAGGGCCGGACAGGCGGACCTTGGCGGGAGCACCCCCTCCTTCCCTTGCACTGACGGACAGACGGCCCCGGCCGGAGCCGGCCCAGAGTCCAGCTCCCTCCCTTGGCCTCCGGCTCAGCGCCTGGGCCGCCCCGCCTGCCCCGCCCGCCGCACCTCCCCCGGCGCCCGCATTAAAGCGCATATGCAAGCCATGAATTATCAACTGAAAGGAGTCAATTACCGGCTCTAAAAACGAGTGTCTGCGCCCTGCGCCCGGAGCGCCCGGGGCCATCCGCCTATTTACGGAGCGATTTCCCCCGCCCGGCCTCGGGAGGGAGAGAGACGGAGCCCGAGACCGGGAGGGAGAGACGGAGAGAGAGAGACTGGGGGAAAGAGAGCACAGACACGCAGAGAGGGAGAGAGAGAAACGGGGACGGGAAAGAGAGACAGAGGCTAGAGCAGCGCGCAGAGAAGCAGAGCAGGCCAAAGCAGCGTGGGTGCCTCTTCTCAGAGCAGCAGAGAGAGAGGTGAGCCCCCAGGACCTCAGAGGCCCTGTGTTCGCCTCCCCCCGTGTTGGCGTAGCGACCCTAACCCTCCAGGGCTGCGGGGGGCTGCTCTGCGGGCTAGAGCCGTGCAGTTGGCGGATAGATCTAGGACTCAGGGAGTGATAAAGTGGGGAGCTCATTTTGCCGAGAGGCCTGTCCAGGAAGGATACTGGGAGGAGGCTGCGGTCTTGCGCAGTGTGAGGTGAGCTGAACAGTGTGACCTTGGGAGGAGAGAGGGGCGTGTGAGGAACAGGAACAGTGAGGATGGAGCCTGATGTGGGGGAGTCTGTGTGGCTCCTCAGCATTGAGATAGAAATGGTGACCCCCCCCCCCCCCGTGGGCTCAGGAAGTCCTGTCTGCCCCTGCACCCCCCAAGGCTCTCACTCAGGTTGTTTCCTCCTCTGGAAATGCTTTTCCTGCCGGCTTCTACTCATTCTTTGACTCGGCCTCCCCAGCAGCTGTGCCTGCCGTAGCCTCAGCGCATACCCCATTCTAAGCCGTGATCCAGGCCTGACTTCTCCACCAGACAGCGACTCCACACTGGCAGGCCCCTGCCCATCTCAGTCAGTGTTCAGAGGGAGCTGCATTAAGTGTTTGCTGAAAGTATGAATGAAGAAGTGAGCGGGGCTAGAGGGGAACTTTGCCTGGACTGAGGCTCGGTGACCAAGGCCCGGAGTTTAGAGGGAAAGGCGAAGTGTAAAGTACTCTGTGCAGATCGTATGGAAGGCTTCAAGCAACCTCGGTGCTGGGGTGAGGCCATCCTAACCTAGCCAGGCCCCGGCTGTGCAGGAGGTGGGGGAGAGGAGTAGAAGAGCAGGGGCAGAGCAGGTAGAGTCAGACAGAGAGTAGAGGACTAGCTCACTAGCACCAGCAAGTTGCTTCCAGAGCCCCCAGGGCTTTGCCCTTAGTAATTCAGGGCCCCTGGGATCCCAGGCCTCTCCTGGAGAGGGTGGGGACAGGGAACCCCAGGAATTCTGAGGAAGAGGTGGGTCTGAACTGGGGCAGATGGAAGAATATGGGCTTGGGAATCAAATAGAGCCTTTCTCTTCTAGCTGTGTGACCTCAGGCAAGCTTCCTTGTTAACTTCTAAGTCTCAAGTTCCTAATCTATAAAATGGGGACAGTGCTGTACAATTTTTT